GAGAGAGAGAGAGATGAGATGAACTCTAATTTTTCTATGGAGGAATAAACAGAGAGAAAATAAGGCAACGGTTCTAATTCAGTTGGCGCGTATATGTGTAATACAGCTCACATTTTTTTTTTGAAGTATTCTTAATTTGGTTCTTTAGTTTTGAAAAATCACAAAATAGACCTGACTTTTATTTTTTCTCATAACATAACACCAATGTTTTCGTCTAATACTTTGTCTTTGTTTGTTTACAATTTTGAATACGCATTAGCATGTGCATATTTATTAATTATGACTAATAGAAATAGACACAACCTTACAAAGGTTAAAAAGTCCTTCACTTTTTGGGTTTGGCAAGACTTTTAGTTACTCTATTTTTAGATCTTAAAGTTGGCTCTTTTTAAGTTAATTTTTGAATCAAGTCATGGTAATTTTGTGGTAATTGTTATTTTTTTAAAAATCGTATCTAGACTAGTTTAATTATTTATATTTACCGTAATTTCAACATGTGTTTGTAAACATATAAATAAATAAATATCGTTGACTCGTATAATTAATTCATTCATGATATTCCTATTATTAAAGAAGAATGAAAATATATGCTTCCAATGAAGCCAAAACAAAAACAAAATGAAGTATAAATAGTTTGATCATAGGGGCAAATAATATACAAATCAAAAGATTAGGGAGAAAAATACAAATATAAGAAAGTTGCGTTCTCTCAACGGTCCTTTAACAGCTCTACTTCTCTTCCTGTAATTTCCTTTTTTTTTTCTTTTTTTTTTCTCTTTAACGACTTTACCTGTAAATATTTTTGACTTGGATATTTTTTTTTCTTTGTTTTCTAATTTCTATCCAAAATATTTTCTTGGAAGAAAAAAAAAACACAACGGCTGTGTCCTTCAATCCAGGTAAAAAAAAGTCTCGTCTCTTGTCATGGAAAATTAAAAAGAAATTATGGTTTCAGATATTAAATTGATTCATGCCCTCAAATGTTCGAATGCATGTGTTTTTGTATAAAAAAACAAATGAAGATTGAATAAGATAACGAATGTGGAAATTTTTTTGTTAAATGTATTTGCAGAGTTTGGAGATAATAATGTCCAAAACTCATATCGAATCAACTTGTGCATCTCTTCTACAAGAACTTGAGGTTTGTGGTTGCTTCAACCCCAAGAAAAAGGGTTAATTAAAAAAAAATATTACAAAAACTGTTTCATTTTTTATGTGTTTCTGTTTCTAATGTAGATCATATGGGAAGAGGTTGGAGAAACTGAAACCGAAAGAGACAAGATTTTGATTGAGATCGAAGACGAATGCAGAAAAGTGTATGGTAATAAAATCGAAAAGGTTAAAGAAGAGAGGGTTCGGATAAGACAGGAGATTGCTGATTCTGGAGCAAGAGTTGTTGCTATATGTTCTGTTATGGAAGAGCCACCGATTCTTGGAAGACAACATTCTGATAAAAGTGGGAGAAGCTTGAAAGAAGAGTTAGTAAAGATCCTTCAGAAACTTGAGGATATGGAAAAGAGAAAATCAGAGAGGAAGACTCAGTTTATTCAAGTCATTGAAGATATAAGATGTGTAAGATATGAGATTAATGGAGAATCTGATGAGACTTGTTCATCTGATTTTTCGGTTGATGAATCTGATTTATCTCTTAGGAAGCTTGAAGAATTACATAGAGAGCTTTATACACTTCAAGAACAGAAGGTATCCACACTTGATCATAAATTTAATTTTCATTATATCAAAATTAAACGATGCTTTATTTGTTGTTTGGCGCAGAGAAACCGGGTGAAACAGATTCAAGATCATCTAAGAACTCTCGAATCGCTTTGTTCTGTTCTCGGTTTGAATTTCCGAGAAGCTGTCACCAAGATTCACCCAAGTTTAGTAGAATCTGAAGGGTCAAGAAGTATATCTAATGAAACACTTAACAAGTTAGCTTCATCAGTACAACAATGGCATGAGACAAAGATTCAGAGAATGCAAGAAGTCAGTTATATATTTAGTTATTTAGCATCGATCTTAAAACTCTGCTCTTTGTTTCTTAGAAGCTCTTTTATTTATTTGCAGCTTCAAGATCTTGTGGCGACGATGCTTGAGTTTTGGAATTTAATGGATACACCAGCAGAAGAACAACAAAAGTTCATAGATGTTTCATGTAATATAGCTGCTACTGTTTCTGAAATAACCAAACCCAATAGTCTTTCTATAGATTTGCTTCAAGAGGTAACTTTCTCAACAACTATGAATCATTTCTTTGCTGAGATATATTTTAGCCGATGGATTGCTTAATTTTTTTTAAAAGGTTAAAGATGAGCTGTGTCGGTTAGAGGAGTTGAAGTGGAGTAAAATGAAAGAACTTGTTCTAAAGAAGAGGTCAGAGTTTGAAGAGATATGCAGAAGAACACACATTGTTCTTGAAGAACAAGATATCGCGGTTGAGGATGTGATCAAAGCCATTGAATCAGGAGATGTGAACCCTGAAAGTATACTAGAACAGATCGAGTATCGAGCTGGGAAAGTGAAAGAGGAAGCTCTAAGCAGAAAAGAGATCCTTGAAAAAGCTGAAAAATGGTTGAATGCTTGTGAGGAAGAGAATTGGCTTGAAGAGTATAATCAGGTTTGTCTCTTTTTGTCTTATCAAAGATTCAGTTTTTACAATTTATGGTTACTTATGATTTTTTTTTGTATAGGATGAAAACCGATACAATACTGGAAAAGGAGGACATTTAATCCTCAAACGCGCAGAGAAAGCTCGCGCACTGGTTAATAAACTTCCAGGTTTCATAGAAATGATCCCAACAACACATTGTTATCTTTGTGAATCTTTATCTTACTAACAGTCTTTCTTTCACTCTTCTTAGCTATGGTTGAAGCATTGATTTCCAAGATTACAATATGGGAAACAGAGAAAGAATCTGAGTTTCTCTTTGATGGAGTATGATCTTAATCTTCTTACCTCAAACAAAACCCTCTCTTCTTTTCTTCTTTTTTATTTTATTTTATTTTACATAGTTCATTGACTTCTAATCTAATCTTCTTCATTCAGAATCGTCTACTTTCGATGCTCGAAGAGTATATGGAACTGAGAGAAGAGAAAGAACAAGAAAGACGCAGAAAGAGGGTACTAATTCACCTGCAAATGATCTTTTAAATCCAATCTTATATTGTTCCAAGAAGAGTCACCAAGGACAATGCTTGCTACCTTTTTTTCTTGTGTGTTTTTAGGATCTGAAGAAACTTCAGGGTCAAGTGACATCAGAGCAAGACAAAGCAAGTGTTACGAAGCCTCAAAGCGCGAAAAAGGGTCTTAAAGTATCAACGAACAAGAGATTTGTCTCATCGCCTCAAACCCCTCGAACTGATTCGCCTCTGTCAGCAAAATCTATTACTCCTCAATCACGTTATGGCTGAAAGATTGAGCAAAAACATAAACCAATGAATTCTTAACTCTTCAATGGCGTTTATTTGGGTTTGTAAACATAGGAACAACTACAAGAGATCATAGAGAAACAAATTCTTCAAATTGCACATAACCAGCTGATTCATAAAGAGGGTCTGAAAATTTGATGATTCTTGGATCATTTGTAATCATCTGTCAAGCTCACCAGATCCAAGTGTGTACACTGATTGTGTTGGGGAAAGATTAGTTTGACTTTGACCGACCAATGTACTTGCTGCAAAAAACAATGTCCATTTTTTTCCTAACATCTTTTAAAAGTTTGATCTCCATATGATGATGATAATGATCGGTACTAAAAACTAAAGAATACTTTTAGTTGAGTTTTGTAACTTAACTTCATCTTAGCTTATCTAGAAAAATCTCATAACAATGATAAATAAAAATCTCAATCTTAGCTTATCTAGAAAAATTAAAATGGTTTAAGTAATTAAGGTATTCAAAGCAAGTTTTATTTGGTCAGCCTTACTTCAAAAGTGATTTACTGGAAAAAAAAGACAAAGGAGATTGTCAGAAGTTGGTATTCTTTATTTTTTTAATTTTCCTTTTCTTTTTGAAATTTCCACTTTTAAAATATTTCTTCGTGTTTCCTATTATTTAATTAGAAATATTAAATTTCCAAGACGGACGTGGATCTTTCCCTAAACCAAAATCAATACTTTGATTTTAGTAATTATTATATTGGTTTTTAAACTAATTAAATCCTTTCTATTCTTATTAAATTAATACAACTGTCTACATGATATTTTATTTATTTATATATATTATCATTTTCTTTTCCTGAAATTTTCCATTTTTATTTATTCAGGTTCCTTTTTTTTTTCCTTTGCAAAAACCCTAAATTCATTCGTCAAAGCTAGAGACAGAAATTATCTTCTTTTTTCTTGTGCAATTTATTTGCATGTAAAATTTTTGGGGATTTTTTTTGAGGTTTATAATCTCCATTGAAAAAAGCATTTCTCTGCTACAGTGTTGAGTTTCAGCTGCAGAATTGTTGGGGTAACAAAAAAAAAAAAAAAAGCAAATCTAAAAACTGTAATCAAATTTCTCTGCTTTGATCTTTGATCCTTTTGAGCTATATTTATCTTCCTTTGTCTCTCTAATCCAACTTGTAATATCTTCTTCTTTTTATTGTTCTTAGTTTAATACATTAAAAAAAAAAAAACTTTGTTTCGTCTTCTGCTAAATTTTTTTTAATTTTTTCAGGAATCAGTAAGAGAGTTTGGTGAAAATTGAGGAGCAGAGAGTATATTTGGGAATTTTGTGGGTAATTAAGAAAAAAAATGGAGGAGAAAGGTGGAATAAGTCCAAGTGGGGTCGTCACAGTTAAGGGAGATGAAGCTTTGGTTTCAAGAACAGAGTTTCAACAAAGCCCTAACTTTCTCCAATTCGTGAGCCCCACGACGGTGGTATCTCCTCCTCCGCCTCCACCTCCGGCTCCTGCTCCGACTACGACTCCGGCTTCAGTACCAGCCACAGTGACTCCTGGCTCAGCAGCGGCATCGACGGGATCAGATCCGACGAAGAAGAAGAGAGGAAGACCGAGGAAGTACGCACCAGATGGAAGTCTGAACCCTAGGGCGTCAAGACCAACTCTGTCTCCAACTCCGATCTCATCTTCGATTCCATTGTCTGGGGATTACCATCACTCCAACTGGAAACGAGGCAAAGCTCAGCAGCAGCATCAGCCTGTCGAGTTCTTCAAGAAATCTCACAAGTTTGAGTATGGAAGCCCAGGTAACCAAACAAATTCGAACATCTTCTTGTGTGTTGAACTTCAACTGTTTGCATTGGTTTCAGTGAGTCATAATAAGATCTGATCCGATCTGGGTTTTGTGTCACTACCTCTGTTGAGTGAGTTTTGACGAGTGTGGATTTTGAGATGTTGGGAAGTGGGACCAACGTAACTGGATTTTGCTGGGTACCCTTTTGTCTGAACGAAGCTTAATCACTTAATCAATCAGACCAGTTAGAGACAGAGAAAGGGAATCTGTTGATGCTGACCAAACAATAACAGACATAAAAAGCAGTTTTTTAAAAAAAAACAACAAAAACAAAACACACAAAGACAGTATATTATCTCTGTCTCTTCCTATTATCTTTAGAAGATAAGTGTGTTTAAGTTGTTTAGAAGATTTCTCATTATCTGGTTAAATCTGTTTTAATTACTGTTTCTCCCTCTGTGGAGAAGAATTGAAGTTGCCGTCTTGAACACTGATTCTTATGGATCTATAGAAGAAGCAGCTTATGGTTTTTGTTATGAATCATTTAGTTGATTGCTTGATGATTATGATTAATTAACGTTACTTAGATTGGTCCAATGCAGTAGCATCAAGTTCTGTTTTATTATCTTTTGCAGCTCCTACTCCTCCTGGGCTCTCAATCTATGTGGGTGCAAATTTCATGACCCATCAGTTCACTGTCAATGCCGGTGAGGTAATAAATTTCTTGTAACCGAAGCTTTGACATTGGATTTTGTCTAGTCTTTGTTTGAGAGTTTGTTTTGTTTGTTTATGGCAGGATATAACAATGAAGATTATGCCGTATTCTCAACAAGGATCTCGAGCTATCTGCATTCTCTCTGCAACTGGTTCCATCTCTAATGTCACTCTTCGTCAGCCTACTACTTCAGGTGGCACTCTTACATATGAGGTAACCAAATTTAATGAATCATGTTTCTCTATTGGCCTTTTATATTCTCTTTTGGTTCTTAGATGGGTTTCTTGAGTCGATTTCTTTCTCTTTTTTCGTAGGGTCGATATGAGATACTTTCGCTGTCGGGGTCCTTTATGCCTATTGAAAACGGAGGAACAAAAGGTCGGTCCGGTGGGATGAGCATTTCTATAGCCGGACCAAATGGCAAAATCGTGGGCGGTGGCCTTGCTGGTATGCTTATAGCAGCTGGTCCTGTTCAGGTGACATGTTTTGATTATATGAATAAAACATATTTACAGATTTAGAGTGTAGAAAAGTTGGATTTTGTTTTTTTCTGCAGAAATGTTCTAAAAAGGTTTTATAATTTGTGACAGGTGGTAATGGGAAGTTTCATTGTGATGCATCAAGAACAACAAAATCAGAAGAAGAAACCTCGAATCATGGAGTCTTTTGCTCCACCGCAACCACCATTACAACCGCAACAACAACCTCCTACTTTCACCATAACAACCGTGAATTCAACTCCTCCAACGGTGGCCACCGTAGAGGAGCCAAAGCAACAACCCTACGGTGGTGGTGGTGGTATAGTGAGACCGATGGCTCAAGTGCCTTCTGCTTTCCACAACGACAACTCTACTATGAACAATTTCACAACAGCCTATCATGGATATGGTAATATGAACACAGGTCCTAACAAAGAAGAAGATGAGGATGACGATGGTGGCGATGATGATGATTCAGGAGATACTAGAAGCCAATCTCATAGTGGTTGAGCAACTCTCGGATCAATCAATGTCAGAAAGTTTTCTTGTGTAGAAAGGAAAAAGGAGCTTAGACAAGGATTCAGCTTTTCTTTGCTTCTTAGAGGTTTGTTTTAGTTGTGTGAGCTTCTGTGTGTTTTCTAATCTTTAGGGGTTCTGTTCTTTGTGATCGGTTTAGATTTAATTATGTTGTACTCGTCGATTAAACGATGTTCTTATTGTTGAGGTCATTGGGATTAATATTATATTTACCTGAGACTTTCGTGATATGGTTCATATTCGTACAAGATCATCATCATTAGACTCATTTACAAACCAAATTTTTTTAAAATGTAAGACTAAACTCAAACTCCTACCTGTCACAATAAGCCGTTTCTATCGTATTGCAATACTGTAGTTGTCTACGTTAAGATCTTGTGCAATTGTAAAAGTCTATATCATTCCTATTTCACATTCACAAACACAATCGATTTGAGGGTTTAAATTGTAACAAATTAGAAGTCCAATTTATTGAGGAACGGATCATTGACTCAACATAAACAACTATTGGGTGAAACTTGTAATAACGAGGATAATACATGGGTTTAAAACATAAATACAAACTCTTCGTTAATTCTCAAAACCCTTCCCTTTCCTTTGTCGCAGTCGCATTGGCCTCCGTTGGGTCTTCATCGTGACTCTCTTCACGCCATTTATTCCGATTAATCGGAGTTTCGACTTCGCTCATCTTCCTTGGGTAATATCAAATCTCACTCTGTTGTATCTTCAGCTAATAAAAATTCGAACTTTGTGTGTGTGTTTCTAGTTGTTTATTTGTTTAGTTACGAGATCTTCTCTCTTGATTCTGTTTCAGCGTTCTGTTTTGAGCATCACTAGAAAATGTATAACCTGAGTAGGATCATATCTCGTTTCTCCTCGGTTTCACTTAACCCTTGCACGAGGGCATCTGGGTTTCTGATTGAAAACGCTCCTGCTTCATCAGAACTCATTCAATCTGCTGTGAATCGAGCATTTTCTTCAAAATCAGGGTCTGATGGAGTTGGAGGCGATGAAAACGGTTGGGATATTGCAACAGGAGGATCATTTGGTGGTACAGGATCAGATGATCTCGATTGGGACAATAAATCTATGTGGTCGACTGGCTTAACCAAGGAGCATTTCGATGGTGTCTCCGTTGGTCGTCAGAAGAACGCTGCGAATCCTTCTTCTGATAGTACGGCCTCTGATTCGGGAGATGTAATGAGCAAATTAGGTCCAAAGGAAGCTGCTTTGGTTAATGAAATGAATGAGTATGATGATATGATCAAAGAGATTGACCAAGATAATAGGCAAGGCAGGGCTTTTGTTGATGGGATTAAACAGAGAATGATGGAGATCAGTGTGTTGTTGAAGCAAGTGAAAGAGCCTGGAGCTAGAGGGTCTTATCTTAAAGACTCTGAGAAGACTGAGATGTATAGATTGCACAAAGAGAATCCTGAGGTTTATACCGTTGAGAGGCTTGCTAAGGATTATAGGATTATGAGGCAGCGTGTTCACGCCATTCTTTTTCTTAAAGAAGATGAAGAAGAAGAGGAGAAGAAGCTTGGTCGTCCCTTGGATGATTCTGTTGAGCGTTTGCTTGATGAGTACCCTGAGTAAGTTACTTTACATGGAAACTCTTTTTCTGTTCATTCATTGGTGTACTGCTACTTGAGTTCTACATGAATTTAAATGGACTATCTCTTTGTGCTCACTTTTATTTAGTCTTCGTTATGGCCAAATAGTTTATTAAGTTTTGCCATTCTTTCCTTATTATAAGATTAGTAAGGTAGTTAGTGTTGCCAATTGCATTTTTAGTGAACGATCATGATACAAACTTGAATAGGTTGCTGAATACCATTCTTTCATCTTCATGGAATATCATGCAGGTTCTTCATTTCGCATGACCGGGAATTTCATGTGGCCTCACTTAATTACAAGCCTGACTTCAAGGTCATGCCAGAAGGATGGGATGGTACAATCAAAGATATGGATGAAGTCCATTATGAGATCTCAAAGAAAGAGGATGACATGCTTTACGAAGAATTTGTTCGAAGATTTGAGTTCAATAAAATGAAAGTAAGTCGCTTCTTTTGCCCACTTGAGTATTCATTGACTTAGTAAGCCAATACTACATTTGGTTTACTCTGTTTACTGAGACAATTTCCCCTCCATATGTTAATTATCAATCGACCTGCTTGCAACTTAGAATGAAAGCTTGAGACCTAGATGCACGTTTGGAATCCTATATACTTAGACTGGGTGGGGATTGTCATTTCCATGAATTTTCCATTTCTCACTTAGCGAGGGAATCTTATTTATTTCCTTTTTTGAGGATCGACGAATCAAATGATATTTTTTTCCATTTTTTGCCTCTTCTTTTCCCTATAAATCAAACTTTTCTTTGCCATAAGGCTTCATTTACTCTTATTATCGTAATAGTCTTGCTACTTGCAACTTGCTTGCGGTTATTGGTAGGATATATTAACACCATTGATTGATATATAATATCAGGTTTCCTGCTTGAGTTCTTGTTGAGTTGTGAGACGTTCTCTTTAACAAAAAATACTCATGTTTCCTTTTGGTCTGTAAACCAGTGGAGAGGAGAAGTGAAGTGCCACAAGTACAGTAGGAGGCGTTCATCAGAGGGATGGAACATCACAGTTGAGAAACTGGGTGCTAAGGGCAAGCGTGGATCCGGAGGTGGCTGGAAGTTTATGAGTCTTCCAGATGGATCAAGCCGACCCCTCAACGAAGTGGAGAAGATGTATGTCAAGCGCGAAACACCACTTCGTCGCCGTAAGATCCTCCCTTGATTTTACAAGACGCAGACTCCATCGATGGTTATATCAGGATGGGAATGTTGTGTTTCCTATGTGTTCTTGTTTGATAATACTTTGCTTTTGTTTGATGTTAAGTTGAATAGTCAGATGGGGTAGCTTTTGTTTTTCGTTTAGCTCTCTCTAACTTTATCAGTGAGGTGCAAATAAATATTAAGACCCAATACTGTTCTAATAGAATCATAGTCTTATCTTATATATTTTTATTAATACGAGAAAAATGTTTAAGAAGTTCTTTAATCAGGATGTGAATGTTATGTCTTCTGTAGTCCTGGGTGTTCTTTGTTTGATCTTAAAGTTGAATAGTAAGATGGCTAAGTTGAATAGTAAGATGGCTAGCTTTTATATTCCGTTTAGCTCTCTTGAACTTTCAGTGAGGTGAAAAAGTAATCTGAAGACCCATTATTGTTTTAGTAGAATGATAATCTTATTCTCTATTATAGTACCAAAAAATTGTTTAAGAAGGTTCCTTAATCATTTAAAAAAAAAAAAAATCAAAGATAATTTAGAGAAGCTTAGATAACATAATGGTTGGTTATTGTATAGGAAGCATGGAATCGCCGGTGATGCGTTTCTCGCCCAGAAACCAGAAGCGGAGGCCGAAACGGAGGCAGAAGCGGAAGGAGAGACGCATCGCATGTCTCAAAGAAGGCAAGCAAACGTGATTCCCAATATGAGGCTTATTTGGAAGCGTCGATGGACCGACCATAGTAGCTATATCACGTTTAAGACGATTATGAAACAAGTTAACAACCATTAATGGGCTTATGATTTTATCATTTGGGCTTATAATTTTTTTATTGTGGCCCAACTTACCTAAAAGCGTTTTACTGTCTGGTAATTTTAGATTATTTCATTTTATTAATACATATTCAGTGAAAGAAACAAATAAAACAAAAAGACAAATCACCACCCATGAATATTCAAAGAAAAAAACAACTAGGCTAATAAAAGATGATGTCTCCTGGAATGGTCGAAGCAGAATCTGTAGCCACTCACTGTTCTTTATCGTTGTCTCCTCTTCAACATTATCCCAATCCCACGTTCGTTTTTTAAAAATTTGGATTTTATTATTCATCGACCATAAATCATTAAAATACAACCATTTTTTTATCCCGATCTTTGAATTCGTTACATCCCCATTTATAATATTCTAGGTTTAGTTTAATATATACACATGTACATAGTTCCGGTGATTTTGATCTTGGTCGATACAAATATCTTTTAAGACTTTTCTGAAAATATGTCGCCACGATAAAGACTATTGAGGATTTACGTCTACGTCTTATAATGTTTGTGTAGTGGCAGTGCATGCATCGAACTCCTATTATATGTATATCTATTTAAAAGAATTGTATTCTATATATATATTAATGTACGATCTTAATTAATATCATTTCTAACGTATTTTTAACGTCGGACCTAGAAAAAAATATATATGAAATCGAATGTAATAGAAACTCTCTTAACGTCTATATTGCATTATATGCCAAGAGAAATGGCTTTACACATTCGAGACATTTACATGATTGCCATCATTTTAAGAAAGTTGAAAGTAAAATAACATTCCAAGACCTTGCTATCGTTTTGGATCCTTTTAGAGTTTAGCAAAAGTTCGTGGATTTTGCTATAGTTTTGGTAACACTTGAGACTCTCTATTTTCTAACATGATCTACAATTTCAAATGAACCAATAGAAACTGTTTGGAGTTGCACTTAACTGGACCACAGTATTGTCATAAATTAAAACTTGAACCAGATCAAAAACTTTTCGGAGCTAGCGTTGGACCAGTTCCTTCTGGCCAAATTAACCTTCAATATCCTTATCTTGATAAGGTATAAAGCAATAATAATGACAGATGCATGGAACTAGTTCAAGTGGAAAAAACATCGTGCACTGAGTGATATATCTTCATCAATTGCAAGAACATGTCTCAATAAACCCAAAACTATTCAAAACATTTTTTTCTGAATCATATCTATCAGCATGGGACACTGTGGCTCTTTGTGCCTTTGGATTCAACGCATCCTTACACGATCATTTTTTTTTGTAACTGCATCTCTTGTGTAGCAATCACCACTTTGAAATATCGATGTAAGAATTTATAAATAAAATTCATCATAATTAACCAGTAGAAATCGATTATATAACAAGAGCAGTGAGTTTGTTTAAAAAAAGAAAAGAAAAAAGAACAATTAATCTAATTCACAAAAAAACGAAAGAAAAAAAACAACAAGAAGATATATAGCAATTTGATGTGTAGTATGATATTATAAAATGGATATGTTAAGCTGATCATTAATTTCTTAAGTCTTGGTTAGCACAATGATTAATGCATAATTAGATTAAGTGTATATGAAGCTTCATGGAAACCCGTACGAGAGAGGACGGTCACTAGATTGTACAATCAAAGACCTTCTCTAATATACTATTACTATATATCCATTCATCTAAACCGTACGTTAATAACAAATTAATTATGTGAAATCGAGAATCTAATCTTGTAAGAAAAAACTGTAGGCTTGTTGTCAGAACAAACATGGACCCATGTTCTCTATGTCCCTAAGATGTGTATCAATCTCAATTCACTTCTTTGTTGCGCTCTTTTTTTTATAAACTTTTATTTTGTATTTTTAAACTCATTGAGATCTCCATTGCCCCTGCTGCACTCGACATTACATCTCATTTTTTCCTTATAATGCAATCTCTCTTTTTCTTTCTTATTAGTTTTAAACTAATCATAATATGGGTATTTAGCGTTGAAACTATCTATATGCATTTATAAGTTTGATAATTTTTACGTTCCTATATGTATGCATGTATACATGTTCCAATATCCAGATTTTTACTAAATTTTTAAGCGATGATTGTTTTTATACATTGTATCTATGTTTTTATATAAAAAGGTTACCGTTTTGAACAAGTGTTTATATATTTACCTAGATTACTCATTACCAGCAGACATACACTAATGCATTGCTTAGCTTGAACCATGTATTTGACACCAAATAATATTTCGAAAACATTTTCATTTATGCTACACGTACTTCTCGGTATAATTATTTTTTAGTTGTGATTAAGAATTGGGATGCACATTCAAAGTGAAGATTAATTATTAAATGCCACTATGAAGAGCCCCTGAACATAGTCTAAATTCAGTTTAAAGTTTCATAAAGAAGAGGAACATTAACAGTGACAATAGCTAAACGTTTCTCGACAATGAGACAATCCGCTTTTTAAATATGATAAACCGTATTGTAAGATGTATGTAGAATACTATTACAACTTGACCACTATTTATTCAATTTCTCCGACTCTTTATATCAATAAGAAACTATTCATTGATACTGGACCAGCCTGTTTGAATCTTGTCCCATCCACAAATCACCCAATATATAAATAAAGAACCTTCACCCCTAAAACCAAAACCATCAACAACAAACTTCAAAACTTTCCAAGCAAGAGAGAGTACGTACTGCTGAGAGAAATCAGATATTTTTTTTCAAAGTTTCTCAAATTACCAAAAAAACAATAATAATATGGCTTTTTGGTCTGCTGAGAATGCTACTAAAGCCTATCTTACTACATTGAAAACGGTAAGAGTTTATTTCTTTTAATGACTATTTAATTTAATGAACATATTGAATGAATGTCACATTTTGACATATCTCTATATGGATTTTCAGGATCAAAGGGCGAAAGAACCAAACGTGGCCGAATTCATATCAGCTCTAGCCGCCGGCAATAGCGCAAGAAAGATAGCCGTGGCTTGCGCCGGAGCAGCAAACGCAGACATACTCGTTGCCCTAATCGCAGCAGCTAACCAAACACGCGGTCAAGTTGTATGTGTTTTACGTGGCATCGAAGAACTAATCATATCCAAGAAAATGTTGGAACCATCAGAGCTTCATCAGATACAATTCGTAGTTGGAGAATCTAACGACGACACTTTAGTCAATGATCATTTTGGAGAAGCCGATTTCGTCCTCGTCGATTGTAACCTAGAGAACCACCAAGAGATCGTTAAAAAGATCCTTAACCACCATGAAGAAAACACAAGAACCGGCGGCGTAGCGGTTGTGGTTGGTTATAATGCGTTTTCTAGAGGCTCGTGGAGGTTTAGCGATGGGAGGAAGACACAGTTTTTGCCAATAGGAGAAGGGTTGCTTGTGACGAGGGTCAACGATAATCAGAAGATGATGAGGAACAATAATCATCGTGAACATGTGAGGAAGAGTCGGTGGGTGGTGAAGGTTGATAAGTGCACTGGAGAGGAACATGTGTTTAGGGTTAGGGTTCCACGAGGAGAAGCCATTATAGAAGCTTAATCAAATCTTTATATAATTATTGGGTACTTTAGAGTTCACCTCTGTGATGGTCAGACGAGTGAAAGTAGTAAAACTATTAGTTATTAAGAGAGAGTTTTGAGATTGGTTTTGGATGAGTGCTTTGTGTGGTGAGAAGAGTGAAAGAAAAAAAAAGTCTGTTTTTTCTCAAGTAAATGACTTTTTTTTTTGTAAGTGTAAATATGAAAATATGTGTTTTGTTTTAAATTTTCTTTCTTATTTTGGATTCCTTTTTGTTGTTGTCTTTTCTTGAGCATATGTACACGCATTGTTATTCTTCAGATTTTGGACGTTTAAGGAAATAAACTATTCAAAAATGCACATGCATACGAAGATGCCATCTGAAACTAATACAATCAAACGAGAATATTAATTGATTAAAGTAAGCGTATGTATTTAGCTGTCTTTTACAATACACATTTTGTCAAAATAGATGTAGACGTATATATATATATTATTGAGTTAGAATACCAACAACCACATCAAACGGGTGTTTTCATTTGACTCTAATCTATGTTCAAGAATATATATATAAAAAAAAAACTCTTTTACATGTTAGTTTCCAAATTCTGATCAATCTACATTTGATAAGTCATGAGATTCATCTACGCTTGTTCACATCTCTACGAGGCACAAAATAATTCATTCTTTGAATTAGACAATTTTTTTTCCACAAGAACTTAGAAATCTCTTTATTAGTGAATGCTTTTAAAAAAAAAATTATCAGCCGACATCTATGTTATGAATATGTTAGATAATAAAAATAGATAACAATTTGAAGAGAAGAGTCGTTGTTGACAATGATCCGTTCATTAACGTATGCATTGTCACAATCTGCCCATATGAGTATATGGCCTTTACCATAAAGGCCATAACCTTCCCCTATCCCCATGACCACCCCCCATCTCTCTTATCCAACGTCTCAACTCATCATCACTATACACATATATGTAAATACGCAGAAGAATTCACTTGAAACAACATTAATCAACCAAACATCAAAACAACCTTTAGTGAAAGAAGAAAAAAAGATTACATTAACAAAAAACACAATTGTTCTTGTGAAATGGACCACTAAACAATTTAAAGTACTAGTTGGGCCTTTATACCGAATCCTATTTTAATGAAAAAGCCCATTAATGTTCTTCATATCACACTGAAACAAAACAAATCGAGAAAACCCTAAGAAAAACCCTGCCAGATAATTTTCAGTTTCTCGACGAACTTAACAACTGTTTCTCTGTGATCGGAAAACATGGTAGCTGGTCTAAGAGAGTTCGCACTTAGAACCGGTGATGGCTCCGGAAAGCCTGTACTTGACGAATCTAACGGCGAAGAACTTATGCACGTTCAGCCTTCCGTCGCCGTCGCTCTTGGAAACCGTCCCGTTGAGTCTCCCGGCACTCTCTACATCACTTCCAGGTGAATAGTTATTTCTCAAATTCCTCTACTCCTTCTCCACTGAGATGAGTGCCGTAGCTCATTTGGTATTTTTCATTTCAGGAAGTTGATTTGGCTGAGCGATGTAGACATGGCTAAAGGTTATGCTGTTGATTTCTTATCGATATCGCTTCACGCTGTTTCTAGAGATCCTGAGGCTTACTCATCTCCTTGTATGTATACTCAGGTATTCAAATTTTATGGCTTTTGTTAGAATTGCTACCTAGTAATGTTGTTCTTGTTGATTGTGATTAGTGTTTAAGCAAAAAGCAAACGAATTTTGAGGATAGTGTTAGTGCTTATGTTGCCAAGTGCTTCTTGCTTGAATTTGATACACGTTTTGATTGGATCTCTAAGTTTATGGTTGTATTTTTTGAAGATTGAAGTTGAAGAAGATGAAGATGATGACTCTGATACAGAAGTCACTGAAGTTTTGGACTTGTCAAAGATCAGAGAGATGAGGCTTGTTCCTTCTGACTCTACCCAGTGTGAGTTTTTTCTTAGAGCTATTTGAATTGGTTAGAAAGTAGTACTTCATTGTTTCATTGTATAGGAGTCTCAGATATTAAGCTGACATATCCTTTTTTTCTTGTGTATTGAAAGTGGAGACGCTGTTTGATGTATTCTGCGAGTGTGCCGAGCTGAATCCTGAACCTGTTGAAGGTAAACCAACACAAGAGTACAGCTTTGCTACTATCATTTGTAATGCAATTGTTTTATTCCTTAACCATTTACTGTTTTTGTCTCTTTGCATCTTTCAGAAGAAGAGGAAGAAAGCGGACATAATTGGGTGTTCAGTGCTGATCAGATGGATGTTCGTGGAGGAGGTAATGATTTCATACGCATGAGACTGAATTCAAGAGTGTCTTAATGTATTCATCTTGAATGGTATGTAAACTGAGGTCTTAATGTGTTCTACAGCAGATGAAGATGCAGAATGGCAAATATCTCAGAGTCCAACAAATGTAATTGGTCATTCCAATGGAGATGAAGGTCTTGCTCAGCCTATGCTTGAGGTAATAAGAAACATCTCCTTTTCAGTTTTTTTTTTCAAAAATTAACTGAAGTATTCTTCACCCTGCAGCTCCAAATCAATGATCAGAGGTTTGAGGATGCTGAAGAGATGTCTCATGACAGTGAGAGCAAGGATCACTAGACTGTTCACATATGTATTCGGAAACATAATTGTGTCTTATTTTAATGATGACAGAGTTGTATTATGTTAACGATAAATTTATCATGTTTTTTAATGGGTCTTCTGTAATTATAAAATTGTCTAGTAAACACATCTCGAATTATAAAATTAGAAATTACGATTGCAAATTGAGACTTAACGAAGACTTATATTGAGAGAAAGGTCGAAGGATCTTAAATTGAGATAAAAGCACGTAACTATAATATCAATCTTCAAAATCTATTCAATTAAGAAAACATAAGAAATAGGGTTTCACTACAACAAAACATTTGTTTATCCACCTCAACCGGAGAGAAGCAAGTGTAGTTAAGAACCGAGGAAAGAAGATTGTTTCTCATAAGATAAATTGAAAAGAGAAAGCAAACAAAGAAGTAGGGTTGATCTAAGAGTCGGCGATGGTGACCTCAACCTCAACACCAGGCTCAATGGTGATGGAAGTGATCTGCTTGACCACATCAGGAGAGCTGAAGAGATCAATCACTCGCTTGTGAACCCTGAGTTCAAATCTGTCCCATGTGTTGGTACCTGTTACAAAACCAATCGTTAAGAATCTCAGCCAATGTTAAGACAATTGCAGTGACAAGAGTAGAAAACAGAATTGAGCAGAATCACAAGTTATGAGTCAATAAATTCTTGTTATAAGTTCAACCAAGGAAATAACGAAAAGTTCCCAACCATAAATCCAAAACTTAAGCTCTAGTGTTCGTGAAGAAGCTAATGTTGAGATAAATGTTATAATACCTTCACCACAAGGAGCTTTTCGGGTAGTGATTTTAAGAACCTTGGTGGGCATTCTCACTGGTCCCTTAACTCTCAGTCTCTTGTCCTTGGCTCCACGAACCAAATCAGTGCACACTATACATTTGAACCAAGAATAATAAAACATTGATTCAGTATTTGACACGAATTACCAAACTAGAAAAAACAACCTATTTGCAATGGTTCAAATGCAGAGAATTTGGTACATTTCCCAGTAAAACAATAAACTTTCAAAATTCTCTACTGTTTTGGGAGCTGGTCAATACTAAATTGCTGAAGTGAAAATGCTTAGATAGTCAAAATAAAAAGGCATTAAAAAAAAATTCAAAAAGACCTTTTTCCAAGTTCTTGACGTTCTTGGAGGAGAGAGTAATCCTGATCTTATGAATTTGCTCAAGTGGCTCTTCCAAACCAGCCTTTCCGGGCTTCATTGCTTGATACGCCATGTTTTCAGCTTCTTCTTCTGTTAAATCTCAAACATAAAAAAAAAAACGATCGTTCAGAAAAGCAGAATTACACGAGATGTTCACGTAAACATTATAAGTTTGGGTTTAGGTCAAGAAACCTGAGCGACGAACGAAGCTTGACGGCGGATTGCTTTTTGCTGCAAGAAAGAAAGAAACCGGGTGATCTTTAACCTAAGAGACGTTTTATGGAATATGAAAACCCTAATTTTTATGGACTTGTTGGGCCCAATCAATTCTCAGCCCAATAACTTTAGGTATAAAGAGACTTCTTTGAATATAATATGAGTTTCTCTACTGATTTTTGGCCCAATTACTTGTGAAATGATTTATCATTAGTATATGTAAAGTATATAAACGTGTTGTAACTTTTTATTTTTATTTGACAGCAACTAATTAATGTAGTATTTTTCTAGAAAGTAGTAACCAAAAATATCTTAGTACCGTGTTTTTTTTTTTGGTCAACTCAGAAGAAAAAATCATAAACTGCTTAATTTTTAAATTTAGGTAAAAATATATATTCGTGTTCTTTGTTGTTTCTAGAAATGGGGAAGACATGCATTTGTTGGAAGCACGTTGTTTTGATTTCGGACACTCTCCACATAATAATAATTTTGTAAAAACTATATTAATTTATATAGTATCATCTTTAATTATCTAAGTGTATTGTCTTTTTTAAAAAGAGCTAAAATGAAAAAAATGAAGTCAGAATTTCTCAATTATTATGACTATGAAGATAAAAACAGAGTCCCCTGTTCCCGCGAAAACCTCAGTCTCGTTTCCTTCAATGTCTTTCTCTCTCTCTGACAACCGCTTCTGTGTAAACGCTATGATTTGATAAAATCTGAAAACAAACAAACGAAGAGAAATAAAAAAAAGAAGAGTGTAAATATGAATATTTCAATTAATTCGCTAAGGTAATCTCAGATATTTCTATTATTAACAAATGTCGCCGATGACGACGGAACCGTCGCCTGAGAACGATCAGGATCCACAACCGACCTCCGCCAATGCGAAACACCTGAAGAAGATCCCTGCGATTCCTTTCCGTCATCCGGATAAGGTTGGAGGAGAAGAAGTTGAATTAGCTGCGGAAGGTTCGATGAGTCAGAGCCACGATTCGCCGGAGATTCTTGCTCCTTCTTCCTTGGGTTTGAATCATATCAGAACGAAATCGTCTCCGGCGCCGTCTCCTTTGAGGTTTTCCTCGGGTATAGATGACAAGGACGTCGCCAAGGAGAAACCTAAGGTTGTTGATGCTCGTGCTGATGCTCGTGCGAGATGGCCGATTCCTCCACATCAACCCGATCAAGGTATGTTTCTCGTTGATTTGATCTGAGATTTATGAATTTTCAAAAAATGGATTCGGCATTCGAGTCGGATGATTAAGGATTCGTAAGGATCATGAGCTGTTTGTTGTATTGTCTCTTAGGGAAAAAAGTTCAGTGGAGCCAATCAAAATCTCAACGGGTGCCTGCGAATTCCAGTCCAGGGTTAGAGGTGACTGAATATCTTTCATTGTTATGGTTTTCAGATTCATGGCAAATTTACAATTCTAATTTGTCTTTGTTGTTCTTATCGATGCAGAGTTCTCACGTAGGACTTGCTAAGGAGACACAGTCTCCACGTTTTCAGGCGATATTGCGCGTCACGAGTGGGCGGAAGAAGAAAGCTCATGACATCAAGAGCTTCTCTCATGAACTCAATTCTAAAGGTGTGCGACCTTTTCCCGTGTGGAGATCTCGAGCAGTTGGTCACATGGAGGTTGGTATTACTGACTTTTGGTGATTTTGAGTTGAGGTTGGGGATTCTCTCTCCTCATTTGGTTGATGTTTGTGGAATGATTTGTGTAGGAGGTTATGGCGGCCATCAGAACAAAGTTTGATAAACAAAAGGAAGATGTTGATGCTGATTTAGGAGTTTTTGCTGGCTACTTAGTGACCACTCTAGAGAGCACTCCAGAATCTAACAAAGAACTAAGAGTTGGTCTTGAGGATTTGTTAGTTGAGGCTCGACAATGCGCAACCATGCCAGCGAGTGAGTTTTGGCTTAAATGTGAAGGTATTGTTCAGAAGCTAGATGATAAACGTCAGGAGTTACCGATGGGAGGTCTCAAACAGGCTCATAACCGTCTTCTTTTTATCCTTACTCGTTGTAATAGGCTTGTGCAATTTCGTAAAGAGAGTGGTTATGTTGAAGAGCACATTTTGGGAATGCACCAGCTAAGTGATCTCGGTGTTTATCCAGAACAGATGGTAGAAATTTCGCGACAACAGGACCTTCTGCGAGAGAAAGAAATCCAAAAAATAAATGAAAAGCAAACGCTAGCTGGTAAACAAGATATTCTTGATCATAACTCTAGCAGCGGAGCTGATGGGGTGGAAGTAAATACTGCTAGGAGTACTGATTCAACTTCGAGTAATTTTCGGATGTCATCTTGGAAGAAGCTTCCATCTGCTGCTGAGAAAAATCGTAGTGTTAATAACACTCCCAAGGCTAAAGGTGAGAGCAAAATCCAACCAAAAGTTTATGGTGATGAAAATGCTGAAAACTTGCATAGCCCGTCAGGCCAACCTGCATCTGCCGACAGAAGTGCTTTGTGGGGTTTCTGGGCGGACCATCAATGTGTGACATATGATAATTCCATGATTTGTCGTATCTGTGAAGTTGAAATACCAGTCGTACATGTAGAGGAGCACTCTCGGATATGCACAATCGCTGATAGATGTGACTTGAAAGGAATAAATGTAAACGTAAGACTTGAAAGAGTAGCTGAAAGTCTTGAGAAAATATTGGAGTCATGGACACCAAAGAGCAGCATAACTCCAAAAGCAGTTGCTGATAGTGCAAGATTATCAACATCCAGTAGACATGAAGATCTAGATGAAATAACTCAGAGATGTTCAGAAGATATGCTTGATTGCGCTCCTCGTTCAGAGAATACATTTTCTTTGGATGAACTGACAATCTTGAATGAAGTTTCCATGGTCAATGGAACAAAGGACTCGTCATCAGGAAGCTTGACACCACCATCGCCAGCAACACCGAGGACAAGCCAAGTCGATTTACTACTAAGTGGTCGAAAAACAATATCAGAGCTTGAGAATTATCAGCAGGTAGATGTCTACATTCTATTCATCTTTTCCCAATCAGTTTATGCAGAAAATATCATTTATTCTTTCTTTATTTCAGCTAAGTATTCAACTCCTCTTTGGATTTTATATTATGCTTTGTTGACAGATAAACAAGTTGCTAGAGATTGCTCGCTCTGTGGCAAATGTGAATGTATGTGGATACAGTTCGTTGGACTTCATGATTGAGCAGTTGGATGAGCTAAAGTACGTTATTCAGGATAGGAAGGCAGATGCCCTTGTGGTAGAAACTTTTGGAAGACGCATAGAGAAGCTTCTACAGTAATCATTTTCACTTATACTGTCTTTGGCTCATCATCACTGTTTATCTGCAACTTCATTCATGTTGATTTATTGTTTCTCAATCCAGGGAAAAATACATTGAACTTTGTGGACTGATAGATGATGAAAAAGTAGACTCATCTAATGCCATGGCGGATGAAGAAAGCTCAGCAGATGAGGATACAGTGCGAAGCTTACGGGCAAGCCCACTTAATCCACGTGCTAAAGATCGAACATCAATAGAAGATTTTGAAATTATAAAACCAATTAGCCGCGGTGCATTTGGAAGAGTATTTCTTGCAAAAAAGAGAGCTACTGGTGATTTGTTCGCCATAAAGGTTGGTCCTACGGCTACTATTTACTAACGTAATACTATTTTAGTTTGGTTAGGAATTTATTCTTAGCATAACTAAATGATGTCTAAAACCATCATACAGGTTTTAAAAAAGGCTGATATGATCCGTAAGAATGCTGTTGAGAGTATCCTAGCTGAGCGTAACATCCTTATATCAATTCGTAACCCATTCGTGGTATGTAATGCAAGCAATATACAACCACCCTATTGAATATATTTTGAAAACTGGTGCTTTCTCTAATTGTTCTTTTAGCTGTGCAGGTTCGGTTTTTCTATTCCTTCACATGTCGGGAGAATCTTTATCTGGTCATGGAGTACTTGAATGGCGGAGATCTCTTCTCCTTGTTGAGAAATCTTGGTTGCTTGGATGAAGACATGGCCCGCATTTATATTGCAGAAGTTGTAAGGCCTTTTGTAACATCTCATGATCTTCTCAATTGTGTTTTTGTCGGGATTAAGTTTTAACTCTCCACATGATAGAAATTGACTTCAGTCAAATGGTTTTTCAGGTTCTTGCTTTGGAGTATCTGCATTCTGTAAATATCATTCACAGAGACTTAAAGCCAGACAATTTGTTGATCAATCAGGATGGTCACATCAAGGTGAATTTTGTGTTATGCATTATGGAATTGACAGGGAGACAGCTCTTCCAACAAAATATAACCCTTGTAATTACAGTTGACAGATTTTGGGCTCTCCAAGGTTGGTCTTATCAACAGCACAGATGACTTATCAGGTGATTCATCACTGGGAAATAGTGGATTTTTCGCAGAAGATGGAACAAAAGCTCAACATTCACAAGGAAAAGATAGTCGGAAAAAACATGCAGTTGTTGGAACTCCTGATTATCTTGCACCTGAAATACTTCTTGGAATGGGTCATGGTTAGTATTTTCTTTGCCTTGCATTCCATGCCATCATGTATTTGCACATGACTTATCATCACTACCCATTACAGGTAAAACCGCTGATTGGTGGTCAGTCGGTGTTATTCTTTTTGAGGTTCTCGTGGGTATTCCTCCTTTCAATGCAGAAACCCCACAGGTATATATTGTTTCACCCTGAAATCATCAGATACTTAGAAGTAGACATCATTCTAATGCCTTAACATTTTCTTCATATATGGTTTGCAGCAAATTTTTGAAAATATCATCAACAGAGATATACCATGGCCTAATGTGCCAGAGGAGATATCTTATGAAGCACATGATCTGATCAACAAGTAAGATCACACACTTTCTGGAAATGAATCTTAGAAATTTCATCTCTTTCCCACGTTTTCTGTACTTTTGCCACATTCATTATTCTTACACGACTTTAATCAAGATCAAAGTGAAAAAATGAACATGTTGATTTTGGTAACTTCATATACTTATGTCTTTTCTTCAGGTTGTTAACTGAAAATCCTGTGCAAAGGCTAGGGGCAACGGGAGCTGGAGAGGTAAAGCTCTATTAATTCAATCATTCTAGCTAACTTTCTCAAGTTCTCAGTCTCTCAATATCTCCTTACAGGTGAAACAACATCATTTTTTCAAAGATATTAACTGGGACACGCTTGCTCGACAAAAGGTTCTTTCACATATTCTGAAGACATATTAAGTTTCTTTGCAAAATAAAATCTCTTACTAAGTTTAAGTTATCTATTGTTATGCAGGCTATGTTTGTGCCAGCAGCTGAACCACAAGACACTAGTTACTTCATGAGCCGGTACATATGGAACCCGGAAGACGAAAATGTTCATGGAGGTAGTGATTTTGATGATCTTACAGACACATGCAGCAGCAGCTCCTTCAATACACAGGACGAAGATGTATGACTTTTTTTTCACTCTTTCTCTTTACTTCTTCCCCTCTTTGCATTTTTTGTGTTATCATATGAATACTTATGGAACTAAAAAAAATTGTTTATGTCGTAAAACAGGGTGATGAGTGTGGTAGTTTAGCAGAATTTGGAAATGGACCAAATCTTGCTGTGAAGTATTCCTTCAGCAATTTTTCGTTCAAGGTCAGTGAGTTTTTCCCCAAGGTTTTGGAATATGTATTCCTCAGAAATGCTTAAATCTTTTACAATGTTTTTGTGGTATCAGAACCTCTCACAACTCGCTTCGATCAACTACGATCTTGTCTTAAAGAACGCAAAGGAATCAACAGAAGCTTCGAACCAATCAGCCCATCGACCTGAAACATGATGACTAATATATATATGCATGGATCATCATCTAACTTCAAGAGCTGACTGGTTCTTGTTCAAGCCATAAAAGAAAGTAATAATAACTTCGAAGCATAGCATAGCTAGGAAGCAAAAGAGCTACAGAGATTTGAGTATAAAATTTTATGTAATTACATGATACACATATTGAATTACAAGATTTAAAAAAAAAAAAAATCTTGAATTTGTATACAATATGACAATATGTGTAACTGTGTATCATGTTCTCTGTTTTATTATATTTCCAACTTAAGCTCTATGTTGAGAGTTGAGTTTATCAGGGACATTGAAAGTGCAAAGCACGTATTATTAGGGAAATTTGGAAATTACTATATGTTTTATTCGTTATATTAGTCCAACTACGTGCATCTATGGTTATAGAATCAAGTCAATGAACCTTATGACTTATCAACCTACGGCCTAATTAAACATACTTAAAACATCTCTAATCATCGAAACAACCAAGTTCTAAATCTTCATATCCCAAATCTCCATACTTCAACCACAACGAAGACGAAGAAGAACATGATGACGAAATGTCGCCTGACAATAGCATCGTAAGCTCTCCGGCGCCGCCACCACCTCCTACTACTCCGTCGTTTTCCATTAAAAAGCTCCACGGCTGATCATCATCACCGTCCACGTCAGCCAAATTGTTTAGATTTCCAGCTGACGTGTCATTCTGAAGAACCAAAGGTACCTCTGGCTGACTCGGAGGCTTTGGACTGTTGACCAATAACACCTTCTCCTCCTCGTTGACTTTTTGTTGGTTAAACTCAAATCGACGATGAGTGTTTGGATCGATACCCATTCTAATAAGCTTCCTCTTTATATGAGTGTTCCAATAATTCTTTATATCGTTGTCTGTTCTTCCCGGTAACTCTATTGCAATCTTGGACCATCTATAACCAAAATAATATACATAAACGCATTAGAATATTTCATTATTAGAACTTAGAGATATGATCATCTATATATATTAATAAAGTTTTGGAGATAAAAATGAAACCTATTGCCAAGGCGAGCATGAAGATCAATGACTAGTTGGATCTCCTCTTCAGTAAAAAGACCTCTCTTGAGATCTGGCCGGAGATAGTTAGTCCACCGGAGACGGCAACTTTTGCCACACCGCCTTAGTCCCGCCAGTTTCGGCACATCCCTCCAACACCATCCACCTCTGTCGCCACGTGTCCTTAGGAAATCAACTAGTTTCCCGTCTTCTTCCGCGGTCCATGGTCCCTTTCTTAACCCGACCTCATCACAACATGGTTTACGACCACCCATAATCATATACGGTATTTAAAAAGTTCCATCAAATATAAAAGTGTATTAATAATATCTGAAAATCGTCAAAGTAATTAGCTATAGACTCTTTAGGGGTCGAGAAATGGGAATTGGAAAAGAAAAATAAAATCTACACAAAAGTGGTAACCAAGTTTATCTCAACTAACTAACTATTTATACACACACGTATGGAGTTTCTTGGCCCTTCTTTTGGGATGCTTAAGATTAAAAATCATTGTTCATTCGAATTAACGTATTTTACAGTCCGGATAGATTTAAAACTCAATCCGAAAATTTCTTGCAACTTTTTGTTATTTTTTTGTTAATTAAGTTGTTGTCTGTATATTATAATTCGATGTAGACCTCTTTTTTAGCTTTACAATTTATGTTGGATTATTCATGATTTGATGATATATATCGTCGAGCGTTTACTTACATTTTCTATATGTGTGTACATGTATTTTAGTTGTCATCTACTCTTAGCAACGGCTAAACCAATAGTGCACATATATAAATTAAACATATAATGTACGTGAATAAAACAGAGTAATATCTTCTTGTTTCTCTGATTTCACATATCTTACATTAAATTTCTTATGTTTTTTATAGAATTTATTATGTTTTTTTTTTGCCAAACGACTTTCTAATGTTTATCCACATGTTTTTAAGGGAAAAAAAAAAGATCATGCTGCTTGTGTTTTGATCATGACAAGAAAATGAGACTTCGTAAATAAAATCTTGAAATAGAGAAAAAGAACATGAGACTTCGATCTCTAAAGAAGTCTTAACAAACTGAAATTGATTTATTAAATATCTTTTATTATGTCAAAAGAAAATTAAAGACAAAAAAAAAAATCGTGATACTCATCACCCTAACTACTATATATGGTTACGTTCTTCCTCTCTCTACTACACATTCTCTTATCTTCGCATTTGCCTCACTATGCGTTACAACTTCCGACCTGGCTTATAATTTCATAATTTTACTCAGTTTGGGTAATCAGTACCCAGCCTTAATCATTTTGTATGTTTTGAGCAAACAATATGATTTGCAAAAGATTTTCTAGTGGCATGAAATGTAATTATTATCAAACTAAAAAAAAAAAAAACTATTTTCCTTAAATGTTAAATATTAGATACGTTAAAAGACTAATACATTGGGATCCAATTACTTTTGATAAACGAATTACTTTAGTCAACTACATATTCTGTTGCAATTATAAGTCGTTTATAAAAATATCTACAATTAGCTGTCAACAAAATATATATATCTATCTGTTTGTGTGTAACGATCCGATCGGATCTGGTTACGTGATTGTAATTAACAATTACCATGGATAATTTAACTTAAGACTTGTAACGAAAGTGAGTGGAAGATGCGTATTTTATATATGAAACAAATAAACCAAAATATGAAATTAATCTTGGTGATTAGTATAGTGTCAAGCGCACTCCAAAAAGATGTAGCCAGTACTATAAATATTTAAAACTTCAACTCTTTCCTATTCACACTTAATCCTCAAAACCTCAAGAAAGTTAAACTACGTACAGCAATGGCAAAACAATACAAAGCTCTCTGTCTACTCCTCTCCGTCTCTTACCTCGTCTCGTTGGAGCTCACGACCGCCACAGTCAGTCCGACTAGGACTTCCACAAAAGCACTAAACTTCATTCAATCCTCTTGTAAATTCACAAAGTACCAACCCCTGTGCGTTGAGACTCTCTCGGTCTACGCCAATACGATCAAAACAAGCCCTCGACGCCTCGTCGATACAGCTATCGTCGTGAGTCTGAAGCAAGCGGTGTCCACGAAGCTCTTCATCTCACACCTGACGAAGAGCCAGTTCCGAACCCTTCAGGACTGCGCACCATCGACCGACACGTTCAGTACAGATTGCACGTGTTCTATCGAAGAACTCGAAGAGGTAATGCGTTGTAACGGTTGGAGTGACTGCTTGTCTCACATAAGCAATGCTGAAGTCTGTGCCATTTCGGCTGAAAGTCATAGCGTCGAGAACACCTGCTCCAGCCCGTTCGCTGGTCCGGTAAAGATGTCGTCAGTCCGGGGCCGGTTATCCGATGCGGTAAGAAAGTCACTCCATGCCCGGTTCACTAAGCTGCACCATGAAATAAACAATGCCAAAATGTTATTCAAAGCTTTTGCTAAGAATTAGTGATAATAGACTTCTCGTGTTGTATGGTATTCATGTAGTATCAGTCCATCAGAAGAACAATAAATTAAACAGTTATCGAAACTATCTATCGAAGATAAGAAACCTCAAAACCATCATCAGAAGATATAGAAGAAACTATCTCGAATAATTAATAAACTGGCCTTACACTTACATAAACCTCGAGATTGTTAGGAATTTTTTTTTTAAAAAATGGTTCCTTCCTTGGACTCATTATTATTGTACGACCTTACCAAAATATCTGCTCGATCGATAACGGTGATACAGAAAAATTAAGAAAATAATAAAAGTTATTTTTCCCTCGGGCTTTGCCGAGTGATATTGAGCCGTAACAATAATTTGGGCCGTAGTCCCTAACAGGCTAACACACACATCGAGCCACGTAACCTAGCCCAATACAATAGTTGGATCATGTGTCAGCACTGCCGTCCATGTGTCACCCAATTCGAATTTAAAAACTCTTCTAATATATGTTGTCGACCAAAAGAAAAGTACCGCTCACACTAATTATCGAGTGTAAAGTATTGGGTTTTGGTAAAACTCTTTTCTAGTTTTGGATTATCTTCAGGTTTGTTACAAGCGTGCCCGTTTCCAAAAAATTATTCATTATCAAATATATTCCTAGGGTTTGAGAAATGTGAAAATGGCATTTGCGCTCTTTGCTTATATATTTTATTAATAGACCGACTCTGTTCATGAAGATTATACAAGTTCATTAACATAAACACTAAAAAAGAAAATTCTCATATTTCTGAGGCATGTTTTTTTTTTCTTTCTAAAATTGACCATGCTATCCACGCTAGCTTTCCTAGCGTTATTTACGAAACCAACTTTTTTGAATACCTTTTTCAACAAGTAAGACTTTTATTCAATTGGAAATTACTCTTTTTGTTTGAATTTCCATTGAAATGTTTTTCCACTGCTTTTGTTTCCAACAAGCTGATCTAGTAGTCCACACACTCCAATCATATCTGCACCATATTTTTGACAATACATCAACATACTTAGATATTATAAAAAGGAAAGAGGTGACTCTTTTGATTATGGCCTTACGCGGAGAAGAAGGTACGCGACGGTGCTTTTGACCCACCCAGTTAATTTATGGATCACGTTCACATGCCGATTCTTATTTGATGAGTTTGCTTGCATTTTATTTTAAATTATTATCCCTTTTTTTTTTTTGTGGGATTCTTTTTTCAATTTCATCAATTATTTTACTCAACTTCTTATTGGATCAGAGCTTTAATTTCTATACACGACACAGCAAAGGACCCACCCAAACAATAATTAAGCTTTTCAATTTTTTTCTTTTATATTTTAGTAGAAAACAAAAAAAGATTAAAAAAAAAAAAAAATAGTGTATATAAAAACCACAGAGGCCAAACTATGTACTCTGAAATCTGAAAGGATCCGTACCGCAGTGGAAACAACACAACAGTCCGGTCATGTCGGTAGACTTATATAAGCCACTTCTTTCCAATTTCTAATATCTAATGTACCTGTACTTTACTTGTTCGTAATCCATATATACATTTTTCACTTTTTCCTATTTATAAACTAATTTTACTTTACTGCCTAAAAAGATTTATTTGAGGATTTATAAAACATTTTGCAATTTGATTGGAAGAGTTATTTAATGGCCATATATGATGTTGTGAATATGACAACGATACATTTGACAAAATCTAATAAATTCCATATATTATATTTACGCCTTGATTGGTGCAAATTTCTTTTTCCTTCTTGATTCGATAAAACGACAAACGCTTATCTCTTTACTCGTATCCGATTATATGTTTTAATAGTTACATATAATATTGGGGGGGGGGGGGGGCAATATTGATACTTCACGATATGATCTGGACCGACGTTGAGTGTGGACTGTGGACCCTTTCCTGATCTTTTTATATGAGCAAACAAATATATATATATATCCGGCAAGTGTATGTATATTGAAATAAGGCTTTTGTAATAAAGAGGAAAAAAATATATAGAAATATATAGCATTGTTTTAGTATCGTTCAGATTCTATTTTAGTTTCTCCGGTGTATGTGAACGCATTCAAATTAGATTTAACTAATTGAACATATCACTAGGTTGTAAAAGTCTAATCCACTGTTAATCTTATGTTGGCCGACCTCTAATCCACTATTTTCCCTTTTCCCGTTTCCACAGATTTTCAACATATTTTTCCACCGTGTGTAAAGAACACATATAGGGTAAAGTGAAAATTTACAACATTCCACGGCGTGTTACCCCAATAGTAGCATAAAAGATAAAAACCCTCAACTTAAAACAAATTGTACCCACTATAAATACTTAACTCCAACTCTTTCATCTCCACACACTCTCATTTATCTCCTCCAACATTAAATTAAAACTTGTACCCACACACTCTCTCTCTCTCTCTCTTTACCAAAAGAATCACCAATGGCCAAACAATATCTCTTCCTAATCCTCACAATCTCATGCCTCTTCTCGCTGGAGCTCACCGCAGCCTCACCCGTCAGAGCTTCCAACAAGGCCATAAGCTTCATCGAATCCTCTTGCAAAACCACAACATACCCAGCCTTATGCGTCCAGTCCCTCTCCGTCTACGCAAACAACATCCAAACAAGCCCTAAACGCTTAGCCGAGACCGCACTAGCCGTGACATTGAGCAGAGCTCAATCCACGAAGCTCTTCGTCTCGCGTATCACACGTATGAAGGGACTTAAGAAGCGCGAGATCGAAGCCATCCATGATTGTGTCGAGGAGATCAACGACACCATTGACCGTTTGACCAAGTCTGTCCAAGAACTGAAGCTGTGTGGGAGTGCCAAAGGTCAAGAACAGTTTGCCTACCACATGAGTAATGCTCAGACTTGGACTAGTGCCGCTCTCACCGACGAGAACACTTGCTCCGATGGGTTCTCCGGTCGGGTTATGGATGGTCGGATCAAGAACTCGGTTCGGGCTAGAATCGTCAACGTGGGCCACGAAACCAGCAACGCCTTGTCCTTGATTAATGCTTTTGCTAAAACCTACTAATTTAGAACTATGTTTTGTAATGTAAAATAGAGATAATGTAATGTGTTGCTTGGCTGCTTGTTACGCGTTTTATGTGATATATGTTTTTCGATTTTAGTTAGTTTCTTTTTGTTTTGTATGTGGTTTATAATAATAGTATTCGTGTGCGTATTTTGAGCTATAAAAAGTCGTTTTTTTCTCCCTTATAAAAAGGCTAAATTAATTACTAATACTTTGGAAAGTTGGCACACATTTTAATGTTTTACATCAGCCTTTAATTCAAATATAGAAGAAAAAAGTGAAGATATGCTGTAGTACAGTAGTAGGTATCATATCAGTGATGAGTTTTCTACACAAGTATTTGAAAACGGTTACAACAAAACAGTATTATTTGAATCATGGTGGTCTCTCGGCTTTAGAACTGAAAAATGTAAAATTCACTAAAAGTGTATAGTGTCTGGACCATGTGGTTGTTTGGGTCATGTGACGAGTTTGCAGGAAATAATTTGCCAAAAAATGTGGTCATCCCCAAGATTGCTCAGACAATTTGACGGAAAAAATCTAGATATCCTGTATTAAATAATAGAAAAGGACATTATTGCTGTTTTGAAATCAAAATTTTATTTTCTTGCTTAAAAGGAAGAAGTGAACCAATTTGATATTTTGATGTAAGATATATGCAAAGTATTCATTGTTTCAACTTTTTCAACCACGTGGGATGTCTTATTAACAACTTTTTTCAAAAGCAGTGTGCTTCAGCATATATCTTAGTAATTAGCTTGGGGGTTATCCATTGATTTTTCTTTTGTTTTTGTGACGGCTTCTATGAGTTCTTGTTATCCCTTTGAATTCTCTACCAATCGTATGTATAGTAAAAACATTACATACACGTTCGGCAGCCTCTCTCGTCTATCATATTTTGGTGGATACAGTCGAGCTACCTCTCTTCAAAACCAGCTTTTGGACCTCTAAAGGCCATTTTACTATCTGTTCTCTCAGCAGTATTGGCAGTTTTAACTATCTCTTTTTCAGCAATAGCCAACAGCCAAGATACACTAATAATGACACACAATCTACAAGTCTCACTCTTTAAGATTAAGACTAAGAAAAAAAAAAAAAAAAAAAAAGATTAAGACTAAGAGTGTGACATCTTTACATTAACGGTTATTAGCGTGTTTGATCCTTCTTCTGTTCTTGAACCACTAAAAATGAGCAAACTAACAAGAAAAATGAGATATGCTCAACTTAATTTCCTTTCACAAGACACAACTTGACACTTCACATCGTCGTGTACGTTTGTATTTTATATCAAGATTACGATAAATATGGATGTTTTTGTTTTTTATAAAGGGTTTGATAAATATGGAATTTTGGGAGCAGACGCAATGATTTGTGCCAAATTGGAAATCTTGAAGATGACCGTAGCCCACATGCAGCTGCATTGATTACAAGGACGATAACTCGATAAGAACCTTATATGTTTTTGGCTTCGGTTTCTATGGTCGACATCTTTTAAACTTTCAGTTTATAAATTTAAGTGATAATGAGTTTAATAATAAAAAAAATACATATCAAAATACAACATTTTCTAACACAAAAAGAAGAGAAAGAATATAGCATGTAATGTATTATATTTGCTACTACAAGTTGTAAAAAACATATTTCAGTTATAGTTAACATTGTAAACATGGGGAAAAAAAACATTGTAAACATGAAAATATCCATATGGATATGCATGAGACAGCAGTCATTCAATTTTAATGTACTAATTAATAAGAGTAATTGTTATTGATCACAATCAATTAATCACTGTTGTTTGTCGGTATCACAAGCAAAGCAACTGTTAGACGAATTGGGACCCCAAGTAGCCGACTCTCCCCATTCGCATATGAAAGAGACCAAAAAAGTTGCCTACTAGAATTGTGTATTAGCCAACCAAATAGATCATTCTAAATGTAGTTAATGCCTAATTAAGCAAATGATTATGTTTGTCTTAAAACTATAAATTCCTTACCCTACGGCAACCAGTGTCTCCTCCGTGTTGCTTTCACATGTTAGATATTTTCTCGATTTTTTTCCCATTTTTTTTTGTGTGAAATATCTTCATTACGCAAATCCCATTGCCACTTGCCTATTAAATCTGATTGTTAAGTTTATAGAAAAAGAAAAAAAAAATCTCTATATAAACCCCAATTACATGACAATATATACTACAAAACATATCATCATCCTCACTAAAGCTCATACTATACACTTTAAACAAAAACAAAAAAAGCTAGTACTATACATTAAAAAAATGGGTGAATCTTATAGATTCAATCATCATCACTTGTTCACATCTCTTCTCATAATCATAACCATGCTCAAATCGGTCCATACAATAACAACAAACACCGAGTTCGTAAAATCATCGTGCACTTTCACAACCTACCCAAGACTCTGTTTCACATCACTTGCAACTCAAGCCAGTCTCATCCAAACAAGCCCCAAGCTCATGGCACACGCGGCTCTCAACATCACACTAGCCTCAGCCAAAGCCACTTCAGCAATGATGGTACGTCTCTCGAATACTCGGCTCAAGCCGAGAGAAGTCGCGGCCATGAGAGACTGCGTCGAGGAGCTAGGTGACACGTTAGATGAGCTTAGGAAATCGATTGGTGAGATGTGTCGGCTAAGTAACTCGAACTATGAGGTCTACATGAGCGATATACAGACATGGGTAAGTGCTGCTTTGACGGATGAGAACACATGTACGGAGGGATTCGAAGGAGATGACATGAACGGGAAGGCTAAGGTTTTGGTGAGAGGGAGGATTCTGGTTATTGCTCATTTAACGAGTAATGCCTTGGCTTTGATTAATCATTTTGCTTCTATTCATGGCTAAAGAGAGATGTATTAATAATTTTAAGTTGATTTTTCTGATGATTTTGTGTGTATAATGATAATGTAATTGTAATGTATGTCTTCGTCTTTAAGATTCCAGAATCAATATGTAACAAATAGAGTGTTTTATAATTTTAAAAAGATTTTCCAACAAAACTTTTATTTTATTTTTCTCCTGTACAATAATTATGCATGGATCTTTCATTTTCTCACTTTAAAAGTTAAAACCTTCCAATAATTGTACAATTTTTTTCTTTACATATCTTCCAATTTATAAACCAATTCAATATATATATATATATATACATATATCTCCCATTAAAATTCTTTATACTTTACATTCTATTCACCTTAATTATTATTTTTTAAAATAAAAATATTTAGGCGATGTGAGAAATTTAGAAAGGATAACTCACGTGAAGAAGAAAAGCTGTCTTTTTCTACCACTTTTGTTGAGTAATGGCAGACAAAACAGCTTACAGTTGTTAGATTTTACACATGGAATCTAATCTTATTCACTTCACGCTCAAATCTCAATACTGTTTTTTTTTTCAGGTTTACATTTATATGTATATATATATATATATATATATAAGTAAAAAAGGATAAATGTAAATTCAGTATTCTACATGACATTTACAAGAAATTTACAATATATTGTAAAAGAAAAAAAAAACTAAAGTTGTTGATTATGGTTAAGCATTCTTAATAATCCCGGTTTAGTACAATTCAATAAAGATCTTCCAGATTGAACCATTATAGCAAACAAAGCACGAGCCTCTCTCAACTTCTTCTCTTCACACAAAATATAAATCAACCAAGTGTGGTTTATCGAACGAGGCCAGTAATAAAGAGCAGCCATGTCTTTAACCACCTTAACAGCTTCCATAGTCAACCTAGAGTAACAGAGACACTGAAGCAGCTTTTCATAAGAGTATTTATTTGGATGGATCCCTTGCTTCTGCATTTCTAACATCAGAGCCAAAGCATCAACTGGTCTGTTACTTTCACAGAGACCCTTAAGCAGAGTACTGTACATAACTTGATCCGGCTCGCAATCTGACTCCTCAAACAAATCTATAGCTGACTCCATCTCCCCTGCCTCGATATGAGATTTCATCAGAATTGTGTAAGTTACCTGATTTGGAACAATGCCTTCCTTTTGCATTGATTCGAGATGCTTATAAGCTTCGTCCTGCCTTCCTGCTGCGCAATATCCTGTTATAATGGCGTTGTGGAGGTATAAGTTGGGGATTATAGACTTTTTCACTCTCCCAATCACTTCCATTGCAAAGCTTGTTGATCCGTAGTTGCACAAGGAAGAGGAGATCGCTTCTATAGGCCTTATGTGAAGAAGACGTCTAAGAAGCTTTTCTTTTCCTGGCTCAACAATAACATGCCTCTTTTTCTTTCGTGCCATAGCTCTCCATAAACCGCTGAGCAGTGTGATGTACGCTACATGATCATGTTTAATCTCGTTTTCTCCCATTAAACCGAACAATGTAAAAGAAAACTTCAGATCTCCCTTCTTGAGGAAATGACCGATGAGTGAAGTATACAGCACCACGTTTGGAGATAAACCGTCTTCAAGCATCTTATCGAGATACTGACATCCTTTCTCCATCATACCCATCTTCACAAACCCGCTGATCAATACTGTGTAAGTAAAAGAGCTAGGCCGAACGAAATGTTTGACGACTTCTTCAACTAACTCATTTGCTTCATTAATTCTTGCGTTTCTCGCATAAGCATTGATCATAATCATGTAAGCAATCTCATCAGGTTGAATCCCAGACTCAAGCATCTTGGCAAACGTCTCTTCTGCTTCAACAACTCTTCCCTGTTTGCCAAGAGAACTAATAATTGAGCTGTAAATAGCGACATTAGGTCTCAATCCAAGCGCTTCCATTACATCTATAACAGCAAATGCACCATCTCTGTCATTATTCTTGCATAACTCATTCACCACTATCAAATACGTATCAAGATCCGGGACAAAGTCCAATTCTTGGATAAGATTGACTAAAGACCCGAAATCCTCGATGACACCTTCCTGAAATAGACATTTGATCACTGAATTGTATGAAAAGGGCAAGGGTGTGCACCCCAGATTGACCATTTTTTCGATACGAGATAAAGCAGCGGTAAATTTTCTTTGAGAACACAATGCAGTCGTGACAACAGCAAGTCCCACAGCAGCAAGATTCACATCTTTTCTAGAAATCTCCTCAAGCAAAGACTCAACCTTTACCTCAATATTTCCACGATCATTAATAACTGGTGGATCAATCCCACATCCGTTATCGAAAATTGCTTGTAAGATAACCATCGCATACTTAAGCTCGTGGCACTTTGGGAGCATCTTCAAGAGAACAAAGTAAGTAATATGGTCCGGGACAATCCCATTGTCTAACATCCTCATCAACAAGTCAACAGCTTTATCCAATCCGCCCTTTTTGTAAAACCCGAATATAAGATTTGTATAACAATGCACGTTTCGGGATAAATCTTCGACGCCCTGGTTGTTCTCAAAAAGCTTCAAAGCATAATCAACATCTCCTTCCTTGCAGTAGCTACCAATCATTATATGGTATGTGAAAACATTCGTCTGCACACCCTTTTTTATCATTTGACTAAACAGTACCCTCCCTTTATCCAGCATACCCAACTTCATGAACCCATGAATCAAAGTGTTGAAAATACAAGGATCAAGCTCACAACTTTTCTCAACCATCCGCAAGTAAAGCCGCATTGCCATTGTCATATTGTTATCCCTGCAATATTCTTTCATCAAAAAAGTGTACATGACCTTATCCACAAAGTAACCATCAGCTTCCATATGATCAAACAGAGCCTCTGCTTCAGAAGCACATCCTCTTCTACAAAAACCGTAAAAGAGAGATTTATATAGATTAAATGGCAGAGGCATTCTCGTCAGCTCACACAGAGTGTCTAACATCCCAATTGCTTCATCCAAGTGTCCATTATCGCACAACCCCTTAAACAATCTCTTACAACACCAAAGCCATAAACCACTGCCTCTCTCTTTCACTTGTTCAAAGCAATGAAACGCCTCGACAAATCGATCTTGATTACACAACTCATCAATTACTAAGCTAGAGGCGTCTCTACTAGGAACATAACCAGAAGCTATAATGCTATCTAAATGTGCTCTAGCTTCATCGAATCTCCGCAACTTAACCAAACAAAAAACCATTGAATCTAAAACCCACGAATCAGGAACAATACCGTTTCCAATTACACGTTGATTATAGAAAGTTTCAGCTAAACCAGGCTGACCCATCTCCGTAAGCTTCCTTATCAATGCGCCGCAGCAACACGAATCGAGTTCTATTCCATTGTTGGCTGCGAAATCAGTAACTAAAGCCGCCTCTGAAATAGAAGAACAGCCATCAATAACACGGCGAACCACTTCCCGAGCAGAGTCTACAAGACCTCTCCGACCAAGTTTGACTATCAAAGACAAACATCGAGACCGGTGGTCACCAGAAGCGGCGGAGAAGGCGGCTACGGAAGTGGAGGGAGCTGGTTCAGAGGGAAGAGCACAAGTGGTAGCCTTTCTGGATTTCACTAAACGATAACATAAAGTCTTCGCCTTTAACATCATCTAAACCCCAAATCTCAGGGCTTCTCAATTGAAAGCCTCTCCAGGTTCTTCGATTTCACGATTTCCCCATTTGCAGAATCGACAAAAAGCATCGTACTTTACAAACAGATACTAAAGAAGAGTAAAGATTTTGAAGAAGAGTTAACGCCGACAAATTAAAGTGTTGGTTGAAGTAGAAGTGGAACGACGATGAGTGGCAACGCGCGGGTTTTGAAACAAAATCCTCACTATAGCTAAAACCCTCGTCGTCGTCCGTCTCTGTCCAATTCTCGTCTTTTGTCTTGTGTTTGGTTTACGAGTCTGAACCGGTAAATTTGGTCGAATCAGATTTATTAATCTAAACCAGAATTTCGCTGGCGCAAACCAAACCGATGATTAACTGTTCATAAAACTAAGCCCAGCCAATGACATTTTAATAAGCCCAACTATAATATATTTTCATTTTTCAAAAATTCCTTTTTTTTGGGTTTCAAAAAACGTTAATATCATCTACCATTTACGCAATACATCACCAAATATGTATGAACTCAAGTTATAACACTGCGACACTAATAAAATAAAAAGATACCTAATAGCATCGATCGCATATAAAATGACATATGGAAAATGAAATACAATCATGTTCGTGCTTTATTTGTTCTAATTTCGTAGTCATATGATTAATATCTATAATTATCATTATTATTAACCATATGAGGTGACATTAAAACAATATTAAATAAGACAATTATAATTAAAAAATGAAGGATTTTTCCCTAATAATTTAGCATTAGGTGGGAACGTTGACAATTTGTGGAGGAAACGTATCCACAAAGTGCAAATATATTAAGCACTAAAAAGGCATGATTATTATTTTCTGTAATTATTTACACTTGAGCTTATTTTTCAAAAATAATTATATTAGTTAAGACTCTTGTGCACGGGTGAGTTTTATTCTTATTATTATTTTTTTTTTTTTGGCTTCAACTCTCTTGTACTTAAAGACAGAAGCTTTGATTGGTTTGGAGCTCACAAATAAAAGAAGAACATATATCTCCGTTACAAAAATGCTGCAATTGTTTCCTTTGTAATTATGCTATTTATGCATGTCAATAATATGATTTTTGAAGAAAAAAATCAATAAGTAATATCATGCCAACAACATTGCATTACAAAAAAAAAAAAACAAAAGAAAAAGATAATCAAATACACTAGAATAAAAGGTCAATCATTCCTAATCTAACATACTTGAAGATCTAATTTTTTAAAATTATAAATAAATTGCTTTAATAAGACAAAACTAAATTGTAAAGAAACAAATCGTACGTTTTCCATATAAATGATTATAATGTTCCCTATGATTTGTAATAGTTGCTTGGTCGTCATACCCTTATAGGCTTATATGACCATGAATACATCTTGGGTGGAGGAATCATCTTCGTAACTCCACAATGAACCAATCATTTTTGAAGAAAACATTATTGAGATTTACAGATCATCATCTTTTGGTTGTTTTTTCGAAGAATGTAACTATAGCGACTAATAAACTTCCAACTAGTTTTACACTACAATCTAAGTGAAAAACAATTTCAGTCCCACTCTTATTGCATGTCTTCTCATACGCGTGCGTTTATACGACTTCATCAAGATCAAACAAGATAGTTATTAATATAACCAATCTTCTCGTTCTTGATTGCTGCATTCTAAGTACATACTCGGGTGAGTGAGATATATATGTATAGTCCAATGGAACATGGATTGGTGTAACAATTATATAGAAGTACTGTATATAAGGTGAATTAATACACACACTCGACGCACGAGCTTCACGTGTATCCCCCATTACTTTTCGACCCCACAGAATGATAACGGGCCCTCGGAAGGCCCACTCATTAGACCGGAAAGAACGGTGGTTCGTTGGCAATGGCTGACTTGACAGTGGCTAGGAGGACCACGCCGGGGCTCACGACCCCAATCATATAGTTTCTAGTGGGACCAAACTTATAGCGGCTTCAACCACAAGATGAAGGAAGAAGAGAACTGGAGTTACCTTTTACCGGTTAGGATTAAATCAAACCAACTTAACCGGTTGCTCTTGGTGGTTAATACAAAGAAGACGTGTGGTATGATTGGTTTGGATTAACTGTCACTCTCTCAGTGTTTCCTAAGACCTATCGATGTACTCAACACAGTCGCTTTGTCGGTCATATATACCATCCAATGAAGAAATTTTGGTTTTTTGAAAACTTAAAGTGGCATCCTCAAAACTCTCTTCATTATATTACATAACATGTAGATGATGATATTAATTATTATATAACACTATATCCATCTCTTTATGGTACGTACATATTACTCACAAAAATAGATGCGTGCAATATATATATATATATATATATATCTTTATATAGACTATATACTAAAATGATATAGAAAATTGCAGGTATCATCATAGTGTTTCCAAGTGGAGAAATTGGAGATAGAAGCGTACTCCTTAAGAACCACCTCTTTTTTTTTTTTTTTTTTTTTAATTTTTTATATTGATAGCAATATCAGAGACTGAATAAGGGAAAAGGAAAGTAAAGAGACACACTCTGCCGTCAAAAACATAAAATAAGGTCTAGCATTAGGTCATTATGTATTACTACTACATAATCTAATGATCTCTAATTTCTCTGATCTTTGCTTTTTTTCAGGATGAAATTTACTAATATAGCCTAAAAATTTGAACATGCATGATTTTTTAACAAAATAGCTTATAAAACTATAGTTAGACAAAAACCCACAAATCGATCCTCATCAAATGATATCAATAACTAATGTGTTACATATTCATGTGAATTTGATCAGTGACCACAAACAATTAATCGAGTGAAGAAACACAAATTAAAGAAAACGAGGGAAATAACAAAAATTATTTCGATTGAACTTACGGATCAAGTTTTTGTTGAAAAAAATGCCAATGTGGACCATGCATGTGGTATGAGACTATGAGTATAGAGAATTTTAATCAGTCATAAAAAAAAAAAATTGATTACCTCAAGAAGTAAATATCAAATATGTTTCTCCAACTTCAAGTGACAACAAATTTTCAAAGTGGTTGTATAAACTTTTTATTCATGAAAAAGTTTATTCTCATATATATCTTCATGATTTTTGTAAAAATGCATATTTCAAACTACTATAATAAGCCTATCTTAAAGAAAACATGAAAACGTATGTTATCTTGAAATTTTATGATAAATGTCTAGGTCGAGTCCTATACTTAAATGGTACGTAAATGTAAAAAAATATGAATAAAAATGGAGAATTTGGATGCAAGTTTAAAGAAGAAGAATGAAGAAGAAGAAGTGTGGTGGGGACGAAAAGGAATGAAGGAGTGGGGGCAAGCACCGAAGGCCGAGAGATAAGGGAGCTTTTTCCCCCCGGCGATGATGTTCCCTGTGTCATTACGTAACCACTCATCTCACGCCACGTTATTTTTTTATTACTGTTTTTCATACAAACAAAATATATATATTTTACTGTATGTTTCTTCTCTGATGTAAGTTCACTTCTCTCAAAAAAAATTTATAATAGAAAGGTTCTTCACTTTCACTTCTTTGTTTTACAAGAGAAAAAAAATCGTCTATTTAAGAAAAATATAATTCGTATCAAGTAGTGAAAAATATATCATAGTGATACATATTCTTTAGATTACTTTTGGCGATTAATTACTTTTTTTCTCTGTAGTACTCGTTAATATCTTGATTACAGACACTAGAAAGAGACTTCTTCAACTGTCTTTATTTTAAACTGTGTATAATTAACTGGTCATTTTAAATACTTTAATTTTATAAGCAATCATCATAATAAAACTTTTAAAGAAAATTGTCTTATCTTTGTTCTATATATCATATGAGACTTTTCTATGAATATGTGTGGTCTAATTTTGCAATCTACAACTTTTCTTATATAGTTGGATTTAATATTATATAATCATTTTTAAAACAAAAACACAATCAAACTTTACGTAAAGTAAGATCCAATGGGTTCAGACCTTACAATTCTAAAACAAATTAAATCTGCATAAATACACGATTCTTGGAAAAATTACCTATCAACTTGTAGAGTTTAATCTGTTTTTTTTTTTTTTGGGGATTTATTATACTTGTTGATTGGTTAAGTTTAAAAGCTGTTATATAATTGTTGGCATTTCTGAACCTTTTCTGTGGCTACTAGATCAACTAGTGTCATACTAAAGAAACATATTGTTTTCTTAAATGTTTCAAAAAGAACATGCGTATCAGTGATCACCAAACGAATCTAATAAAAATATATAACACAAAATCATCGGATATTATATATATTGCTAGTTGACGATCACGTACGGTCAATTATAAAAAGTAGGGATTGTTTAGTTTAATCTAAGTGTAGATGATATAATTTAAGACTTCGAGTAACAACAACAACCCGGGAGAAGAAACGCAGGTGTTTTAAATTCTTGAGTTGTAGCACTCCATTTCGTTATCTATCTTAGGTCTAATAAAATCGATCTCTATTGTATGTATAAATAAATATGTTAACCAAGAGATGTATAATAATCTTGATATGTATAATTTGGTTTTAAATAATTTTCTAACTTGCAAAACTTTATAATCCTTTTAACGTTATATGAACACCAAACCGCAAAACGTGAGCAATTGCACCAACTAAACTGATCAAACGCTGAATTAATGTGTTCAAATATATTATAACTAAAGGGAAGTTAGTTTAATTGAAAAAACGTCTCATTCAATGGTTGGTAGAGAGATAGTTCTAAAAGATCACATTACTTCTCTATCACACACAGTGTAGAAAGTGAAAACTTATGCAACACTTCAGGTAGAGAGAGAGAAAAAAAGACAGTGATAGCTTAGTTATAATTAAAGACCCCCAAAATCCAAATAGAATCTTCTCTTAATAAAAAGAGTATTAAACCCAAAAAAACCAAAATTAAAAAATTAAAAAAGCACATTTCCTTTTGCATCACGAGAGCTTTTTGTCTCTGTTTACATTTGTGTGCCTATATATATGCTGTGTATATATAAGCCTAGAGAATCCGCCATAATCGGAATACATACTCCAAGTCTTTTAGTGATCTCAACCATAAACAAGACAAAACGCTTTTTTTTTTGTCTCTTTCTCTACATCTACGAGGAACCAAGAGAAGTTAGAGAAAACTTTCGAACATTCTTATAAAGCTTGCATATATAAGAAGAAGATTCAAGTAAGTTTCTTTCAGTATATAGAAGTATTAACGTAAATTTATCAATTTTGATCTTCGATATGTTGTTACGAAATCGCATATATAATTACACTTATTATCACTTTCGTTCACGACATGACCATAAGTTATTAGTTTTCATAAGATTACATATATTTTTTATCGGAAACTATATGTTGTTCATTCTATTTCTTTTTTAAATAACTTTTTTTCATTGCATATAATGGACGAAGGGGAAGATTAAAATATGGGGAGTATAAGTAATAATAAGTTCACTTAACGACTGTGGAAAGTTAATTAGTACTTTAACACCATGCAATATAAGTAATTATTTTTGTTCTTGTCAACAAAGTAATTATATTTTTTAAATCATTTTATGAGTAATTTGGTTCAATGGAGATATTATGAGTAATGAAAGTATCAAACGTAACTTTTTTCGTAATGAAAATGGATCAAATTAAATATACTTTAGTCATAATTACTTCTTACATCTTTTTCTACAAAAGGCATACTTGAATTTTTAATTTCACATTAGTTCCATGCATATGATCTTTCTATGTACCGATGCTAAAGTATGTGTTACAAATTGCCACATTGCAGAAAAAAAAAAAATCAAATAAAATGGAGAGTCTCTCGCACATACCTCCCGGTTATCGATTCCATCCGACCGATGAAGAACTTGTTGACTATTATCTCAAGAACAAAGTTGCATACCCTGGAATGCAAGTTGATGTTATCAAAGATGTTGATCTCTACAAGATCGAGCCATGGGACATCCAAGGTATGTATATATGCGCATTGCAACATTCCATTTTGATTTTATTATTTGAAACATTATATCTAATTCAAAGTCAATTGGTACTAATGTTATCCTTAAAATGTTGTTTTATTGGGGTATACAGAGTTATGTGGACGAGGGACGGGAGAAGAGAGGGAATGGTATTTCTTTAGCCACAAGGACAAGAAATATCCAACCGGGACACGAACCAATAGAGCAACGGGCTCTGGATTTTGGAAAGCAACCGGTAGAGACAAGGCCATATACTCTAAGCAAGAGCTTGTTGGGATGAGGAAGACTCTTGTGTTTTACAAAGGCAGGGCCCCGAATGGTCAGAAATCGGACTGGATAATGCACGAATACCGTCTTGAGACCGATGAAAATGGACCACCTCATGAGGAAGGATGGGTGGTTTGTCGCGCTTTCAAGAAGAAACTAACCACAATGAATTACAACAATCCAAGAACAATGATGGGATCATCCGCAGGCCAAGAATCTAACTGGTTCACACAGCAAATGGATGTTGCTAATGGTAATTACTATCACCTTCCTGATCTAGAGAGTCCAAGAATGTTTCAAGGCTCATCATCATCGTCTTTATCATCACTACATCAGAATGATCAAGACCCTTATGGTGTTGTACTAAGCACTATTAACGCAAACCCAACTACAATCATGCAACGAGACGATGGCCATGTCATGTCCAATGATGATGATCATATGATCATGATGAACACGAGTACTGGTGGTCATCATCAATCAGGATTACTAGTCAATGATGATCATAATGATCAAGTGATGGATTGGCAAACGCTTGACAAGTTTGTTGCTTCTCAGCTAATCATGAGCCAAGAAGAGGAAGAAGTAAACAAAGATCCATCAGATAACTCTTCGAATGAAACATTTCATCATCTCTCTGAAGAGCAAGCAACAATGGTTTCTATAAACGGCAATGCCTCTTCCTCTTCTTCTCCATGTTCCTTCTACTCTTGGGCTCAAAATACACAAACGTAAGATCAATCCTCAAAACGTGTGTGTAAAATCCACACGCCTATATATAATTAATTGAGGCTCATGGTTATTGCTTACATATCATACATATACATGTCTTAACGATTACTGATTATTATTTTATACGAAAATTGTTTATTTATTATGTTGTAACTTTATAGTTTATATGATCCCATCTATAAATATAAAGTTTGTAACTTTCTATTCAACTATATTACCTTGAGAAAAAAAAATATTACCTGGTAAACAGTAGACATAAGCATAACTAACTCATAAGCAATTTGGCAAAAGAGAGTCTACCAGTTTGGGAACACAAAGGAATAACATATCCTGATAAAGACAAACACACTAAGAAGACACAAGAGACAAGATTTGAGAAATGACACTGATAAGAGACACTACTCTCTTATCTAAGCCACTCTCTTATTCTTATTTTGTCTGCATAATTAGAAACATTCAGAACAGTAAGCAAACTAAAGAGGCTAATTAATTATTCCCAGACACAAACACAACAAAAACAGCCCCCAAGTCACAAGCACACACAGTTCCATCATTCTTCTTCTGTTTCAAGCATCTGGACGATCTGAGTCACTCCGTCTGCGATTTCTTTGCGGATCAAACTGTCTGGCATATCGAATGTCCTTCTTCTCATCGACAATGATTTCCCCTGTGGTTGCGGATCTACCACATCCAACATTGCTTCGAGCTCATCCACCATGGATCTCTTTGCTCCTCGAACCATTACATCAACTCCCTGATACCAAAAACACACAAGTTTGATTCTGAACACTTAATGCCTTAAAGTTAAAACCTTTCTAGCTTAACCCAATGTTATATGATTTGCAAAACCAAAGACATACGGTAAGGTCTCCAAACTTATCCCATTGGAGAGCATGTTTTTAAGAGTGCAATTAACCAGACTGAGACTATGACATACCTCTATGGCATCAACAGTGAGGAGAAGTACAATGATCTTTTCTGAGAATTTCTGGCGCTCCTCTGCATCATGAGCAATCAGGCGACGGTAACTGAAGTTGTGGAATGAAGCTCTCAGCTCCTTCAGTTTAGTCTTTGCAATAGCTAGATCACGAAGAGTACGCAATGATTTTGAACGACGAACCAAATAAGCTTTGAAGGCCCTCTGGATCATCACAGCCGCATAGTCAGGTGGCATTTCCTTATTCTTCCCCTTCTTAGTCCTAACAGCTCCATTTCTCCTGGCAAACGCCTTTATAACAACACAGAAACAACATAGTGAGTAGGCCAAACTTCTGGTACAGATGACATCCAAAGGATTAATTCACTAAGTCTACAAATGAAACTCTGTTTCGCTAACATTATTACCACCACTCAAACACATAACTTTTGAAGACACCAAACACAACATCAGTTCAAGATCATGCCTATCGCTATCAAAATTAAACAACTGGTCTCAACCAACTTCATGACAATGACTGAAACAGAGTAAAAAAATATACTCAGTTTACCTTCCTGAGAACGATAGCTCCATGTTCTTGCGACTCATCTTCTACTTCTTCCTCCTCCTCAATCGCTACAACACGAGTTTTCTCCTTCTTCTTGCTCTTCTTCTCCTTCTTCTCCTTGTCCTCATGTTTCTTTTTCTCGCTTCCAGTAGAAGCCTTGATGATGTAAGTATGCGAAACCTCTCCATTCTCTCTCTCACTCTTCACCTCCGTCGTCCAGTTGTAACTTTTCTTCTTCTTCGTCTTCTTCTTCATCTCCTCCGCTTCAGCAGCAGCAGCAATAGCTTTCGCTTTCGCCTTAGCCTTCTCCTTCTTCAAAGCAACTAGCTTTAAGCCTTCCTCATCCTTCTTCCCTCCTTTGATCTCAGTCGTCCATTTGTACTTCCTCTCTCCCGGGCCTTCAATCTCAGCTTCCCACTTGTACTTGGTCTCCGTCTCCCCCTCCATCTCTGCTTCCACCTTGTACTTCCTCCCCGGCGGTCCTTGAACCTCCGCTTCCCATTTATACTTCCTCTCACCACTCCCCTTGATCTCTTTCGTCAATGTATACTTCCTATCACAATCACGGCTCTTAGGACCAACAAGTCTATCAAACTTGGATTCCAAATCAGAAACACGGTCACAAAGATACTTGAGAGGATACTCCGGCTCCAGCCTCCGACGTATCACCTTGTACTTGCAAGACGACCCAGATTTCTCAATCTGAACCAGATCCGTCACGGGTTCGAACAGATCGAGTGGACTAGGTGATGAAAAGCCGAACAGATCTTCAACATCGTCGTCGATGAAGGAAGGGAACCCTAAAAACAATGATGAAGGTTCAACAATGGAGGTTTCTCGGAGGAGGAGTGGAGAACACGTGTACGGGTCGATGAGATCGAGTCTATGGAACCAACTCATGGTTTTTGTTTAAGTGTCTGCGGGAGTTTGTGGAACTCAGCGAATCAGCTCACGAGTTAAAAATAAGCTTTGACAGTGTAATAATAAAGGCTCTTTTGGATTGGTACTGATGAATGATGATGATGATGGACTTACGAATATATGAAGCTTTTAATTTCTTTTGACAATTTCATTAAAGTTTTAAGAAAGGAGAAGAGGAAGAAGACAAGTCCTTGAGTTTAACGATGAGATTGACAAAAGAAGCTAAGACCGGTCAGAAACTGTGGGTCTTTAGGCTTTAGGGTGAATTTGACATTTACGAATTGGTAATTCCGGTTTGGTCATTTCCATGCCATTTTACAGCTAACCTTACTATATTTAGCAATTTAATTGACTACTAGTAAAGATTTAATTTCATTAATTGCGTGATAATTTGGTTCGGAACATTCTTTATTCGACGTATAAATTGGATTTGCTATGGCTAAACCAATCCGGTTAGATGAATAGATGACGATAACCGTGTGTTAAGAGAAAAAAAGACGAAATTGACACTGAAACGTGTGAACTATTAACGTCGACAAGAGAATCTTTCGGTGGGATTACAACCTGGTAAAAGATGGCACGTGGGTCCTTGTTCCTCCCCCACGTGAGCCACACCAAACAATCTTACGTTATTTTTTGAATTCGAGTTTCTCACTGTGTAACATAAAGTGCCAAAGAGACTCGAAACATACAAAAAACCAAAATCATCCTATAGAAAGCCCAAATCTACTGAAAATTACATAGTAATCATTGTTGATTTATCTAACTATGCCCATCATAATCAATGGACCATGGTTACGAAAATTAAGTGGGAGTGAGGAACATGGTTCCCTCGTTCATCTGATCACGAAGATATCCATAGAAACTTACCATACTCGCAACGAAACCAACTATACCAAAACTAACCAAACCCCTAAACCGCTTTTTCTTCATCCTCTCGGTTTTTATCCTCGCAAACTTCTCCTCTAGTGATGGATCTTGATGTTCTTCATGTAACGATTCAACCAACGAGCGAACCAAACCGGTCTCATCATCATCAACATTGACAACACCACCACCACGACCACTCTCCAAACTCTGCATGTCCGGTTCGTTGATTTGACCAGTCAATTGCTTGACAGCCTCTTTAAGTCCGGTTAACTTCTTGGCCATGCAACGAAGTTTCAGCATCTCTTCTCCTTCTTCTTCACCTTCCTTAACCGACGACATCTCCGCCATTAAAAGCTTATGCGTGAAAAGAAACCGGAGTTCGAATTCCCGGTATGCGTTAGGATCACCATTGCCAGAACCGATTTCTTCTAACAAAAGCTCAAGTTCTTCGAGTTTCTTCTCCAAGGTTGTGTTTGTTTTTGCCGGCGTTGTCTTCTTCATCCTTTTCTTAACCATTTTGCTTTTCTCCCATTATTCGAAAGGTTTTTAAATAAAACAACTTCTCGTAGTGGGTGTGGCGACGGTTTATGTGAAATTTACACGTACGTGTTGTGTAACTGTGCAAAATTACGTGGCCCTATTATTATGTGGTAGAGGAATTGGTCAACTCATCAGGCTAAACTTGAAGAGTTTCTCTCCACGTCGGCACTTATTAGTTTTGCTCCCTCGACGATATCGTCAGTTGTATGGATCAGCTCCATGTCCAACATGATATCTCTGCTGTATTAACAAGTATAAAGGCATGCATTAATCTTATTATTATCAAACTAGGAATGAACCATTGTATTTTGTGGGTGTTTTGGTCTGTAAAGAAGACTATTGATGACCTTCTGAATGGTCTGGAAGGTTTCGGAACTGCTTCCATATTTCAGTTTCCCGCTCCCTTCGTTCCCTAATCCAAATGCCCTCGATTTCAAAATCCTAAATCGACTAGTAAATTATCTTCTACCCAAACACAAAAAAGCAAAATTTGACTTCAGATTCGTCTTCGGCTTCTCTTGCGACGCTTTCAATTGCATGAACCTTCGACTTTAGATTCCAATTTCGTAATCCGCTTTCTGGGTTTCCGATTTAGCTACTGTACTCGCTTTCTCTCTAGGGTTTTAATTTGCTGTTCTGTAAGTGGGAATCTGGGGGAAGAAGAAGGAAGATGCATATAAAAGAGATATGCTTGGAGGGTTTCAAATCTTATGCGACGAGGACGGTGGTGTCTGGTTTCGATCCACATTTCAACGCGATAACGGGTCTGAATGGGTCGGGCAAATCCAACATCCTCGATTCCATCTGTTTCGTTCTGGGTATCACTAATCTCCAGCAGGTTCGAGCTGCTAACCTGCAGGAGCTCGTTTATAAGCAAGGACAAGCTGGGATTACCAAAGCGACTGTGTCGGTTACATTTGACAATTCCGAGAGAAACAGGAGCCCTCTCGGCTATGAGGAACATCCCGAGATTACTGTCACTAGACAGGTGGGTTCTTTGTTTCTCTTTCCTTCTACTTATCGTTTCAGCAGCTCTCCCTTTACAATTACTGATGCGTTGAGTTATCGATTAATGGGTTTGTCAAAATTTGAGACTTTGATTTGGAATTTTGAATCTCTTTGCCGAAAACTATGTCTGTTTTTTTGTTAGGATTACAGATTGGGATCGAGATAGCAAAATTTGTGACGGATAAGAATAAAGCTAGGGATTTTGAGTTTAGCTTCTTAAATTATGCTATAAAGGTTATGATGAAATGGCTCTTTTGCTCACTGTGACCATTTCCTTTTGTATCTTTTGGTGTTAAAGATTGTAGTTGGTGGTCGGAACAAGTATTTGATAAATGGGAAGCTTGCACAACCAAGTCAAGTTCAGAATCTCTTCCACTCGGTGCAGCTTAATGTCAACAATCCACACTTTCTCATTATGCAAGGGCGTATCACCAAAGTCTTAAATATGAAACCTCCGGAGATCTTATCCATGCTTGAAGAAGCTGCTGGAACAAGAATGTATGAAAACAAGAAAGAAGCTGCACTTAAAACTCTTGAAAAAAAGCAAACCAAGGTTGATGAGATTAATAAGCTCCTTGATCATGAAATATTGCCGGCTCTGGAGAAGTTGAGGAAAGAAAAATCACAATACATGCAGTGGGCTAATGGTAACGCAGAACTAGATCGGCTAAGGAGATTCTGTATCGCCTTTGAATATGTTCAAGCAGAGAAGATTAGAGACAATGCAGTTCTCGGTGTTGGAGAAATGAAGACCAAACTCACTAAGATCGACGAGGAAACAGAAAAGACACAGGGAGAAATACAGGAAATTGAGAAACAAATAAAAGTTCTGACTCGGGCAAAGGAAGCCAGCATGGGGGGAGAAGTAAAAACTCTGTCAGAAAAAGTGGATTCACTGTCTCAAGAAATGACACGCGAGTCATCTAAACTTAATAACAAGGAGGACACCCTTTTGGGAGAAAAAGAGAATGCTGAAAAGGTTAGAGACTGGACAAAATTGTTTTCTGTTGCCAGAAATGTTATAGATTCTCCTCTATTTCGGGTGTATATAACTTCCTACTTGGTTTTGACAGATGCTTCACAATATTGAAGATTTAAAGAAATCCGTGAAAGAGAGAGCTGCTGCTGTGAAGAAGTCTGAGGAAGGAGCGGCAGATCTAAAACAAAGAGTCCAGGAACTCTCCACCACATTGGAAGAGTCTGAAAGGGAACACCAGGTAGTACCACTAAAAAATGTAGCTCTATTCCGTGCCAAATAATACCTACTTTTCTTATGTTAATCGGGTTTATGTCCCTTGATTATTAGGGCGTACTAGCTGGTAAGAGTAGTGGAGATGAAGAGAAATGTTTAGAAGATCAACTACGGGATGCAAAGATTGCTGTTGGGACAGCTGGAACAGAATTGAAACAGCTGAAAACCAAAATAGAACACTGTGAAAAGGAGCTAAATGAGAGAAAGTCTCAATTAATGTCCAAACGTGAAGAAGCCGTTGAAGTGGAGAATGAACTTGGAGCTAGGAAAAATGATGTGGAACGTGTAAAAAAGACTCTTGAATCTATTCCTTATAATGAGGGTCAAATGGAAGCTTTGGAAAAGGTTAGCATGGTCATTTTGTTGATTTGGTCTACTTCTACTTAAGTATACTTCTATGACTAAAATAACTGTATAGGACCGCGGAGCCGAACTTGAAGTTGTACAAAGGCTGGAAGATAAAGTGCGTGGGTTATCAGCTCAATTAGCAAATGTTCAGTTTACATACCGCGATCCTGTGAGGAACTTTGACCGATCCAAGGTGAAGGGTGTGGTCGCAAAACTAATAAAAGTAAAAGATAGGTCCTCAATGACAGCGTTGGAGGTAGACTATATATCTGATCATTTCACAGTACTCATTGTTGGATTCCAATTGCCTGAAGTTATTGCTTCTTATTTTCAGGTTACTGCTGGTGGAAAGTTGTATAATGTTGTTGTAGACTCAGAAGATACTGGAAAACAGCTCCTTCAGAACGGTGCTCTCAGGAGAAGAGTTACAATTATACCTCTCAACAAAATCCAATCCTACGTTGTTCAGCCTAGAGTGCAGCAAGCAACTGCTAGATTGGTATGTGGTTATATTGTTTGGTACTTTCAAATTAATCTCTTTTTTTTCTTTTGGTCATTTTCTTTGCTAATTTTATATTATATTTCAGGTAGGAAAAGATAATGCTGAACTGGCACTTTCCTTAGTCGGTTATAGTGATGAATTAAAGGTACCCACCTGCATATTGTAGTGATCTTCTATTTTTCAAGTTATCAAGAATACATAATCCTCTATCGTTGATTATATTTATCTCATGCATGTTTTAAGTGTTGGATCTTCGAGTTTAAATTCATATTCTTGTGAATTATGTCTTTTGCAGAATGCTATGGAGTACGTTTTTGGCTCCACTTTTGTATGCAAAACTACTGATGCAGCAAAGGAAGTAAGTATTTCCCAAGCATTTAGTATTAATTATTTGTGGGCAGCGTTAAGCCATTTTTTCTTGTAAGATGATGTCAACTTATATATGACTATACGTAGAATATGTGGTATGCACATTTCTTTCACTGTCTAAGCTTCTTTTTAGTAACTCTTGATGGATCGCATCTGATAATCTATAAAGTTTTCTCAATTTTTTGGGTACATCTACCATGATTTTATTCCCAATGTCTTCCTGATATTAAATTTATTGATTTTGCCTCTAGAATTCAGCCTTTGATGTTCCCCGCATTGCTTCTTTTGCAGGTTGCTTTCAATCGGGATATTCGGACTCCAAGTGTCACACTTGAAGGTGATATTTTCCAGCCAAGTGGTCTTCTTACTGGTGGGAGTCGCAAGTATGTCTTCTTTTTTGAATGCTTAAATTTCTAGTTAGAGTCATGTCCTTGATTTTTTACCCATATGATTCAGAAATGCCTAAAACTTAAAAATAAAAGTTTTTTGGTCATATTTATTCCTTTGCCTTAGGGGTGGAGGTGATCTCCTCAGACAACTTCATGAGCTGGCAGAAGCTGAATCAAATTTACAAGGACACCAAAAAAGGTTGGCTGACATTGAAGCGCAGGTAAACCTCCTTAAGCTATTCGTAAGCTATAAGTCTATACTTTGGAACTTAACAGATGCTAGCCATATTTCGAAATTACTAAGAAACTGATAAGGCAGTAACGTAGTAATGGTCTATTTGCTCTCTTTAGGCTCGTCATGCCACAGAGTAATAAAGTGCTTTTAGTATTTTAAACGTAAACTGCTGGTTTATTTTGACATCACAGATCAGAGAGCTTCAGCCTCTTCAAAAGAAATTTACAGATGTTAATGCACAGTTGGAGCTAAAAACGTATGATTTATCCCTTTTTTTGAAGAGGGCTGAACAGAATGAGCATCACAAGGTTTATATCTCCATCTTCTATCTATATCTTTTAAGCTAAATTGTTAGTTTCGTTGGGTTTTTCTTTGGTACTTGAAGCACATGGGTTTATACTTTCCCTCACTTGTCGTATATACAGCTTGGTGAAGCAGTAAAAAAACTTGAAGAAGAGCTTGAAGAAGCGAGATCCCAAATCAAAGCAAAGGAACTTGCTTACAAAAATTGTGTTGATGCTGTTTCCAAACTAGAGAATTCCATCAAAGACCATGATAAAAACAGAGAAGGAAGACTCAAGGGCTTGGAAAAAACTATTAAGACCATCAAATCTCAAATGCAGGCTGCTTCCAAAGATTTAAAGGTATTCTAGATGTTTTGGTCAATTATTCACACGTCGTTAAACTTCATGAATCCGTTTTATTTTTATTGTCCTGGCTTATCCAGTATTATCATGGAAACATTGCCATTTTTGAATTCACTGAAACATTTTCTCTGGTTCGTCATGCTCATAGAGTCATGAAAATGAAAAGGAGAAGCTTGTGATGGAGGAAGAAGCAATGCTGCAAGAACAGTCGTCCTTGGAGAGCCAGTTAGCTTCACTGAAAACCCAAATTAGCACTCTGACTTCGGAAGTAGACGGGCAGAGAGCCAAGGTGACTGTATTTTTTTCCACTCTTGGTGAAAGTTGTTGAAAAGGAAGAAATATGTCATATTAATAAATGATTCCTCTGCAGGTTGATGCCTTACAGAAGATTCATGACGAGTCTCTTGCTGAGCTCAAGTTGATACATGCAAAGATGAAGGAATGTGATAGCCAGATAAGTGGTTTTGTCACTGACCAGGAAAAGTGTCTGCAAAAGCTTAGTGACATGAAGCTTGAGAGAAAGAAATTGGAAAATGAGGTACATTCTGTTCCTGTCTTTTGCTGTTTCTAGATTTTGCAAAGCAGCCATGCTTGTTTCTTTCTTACCACCAGTCTGATTTTGTTGCTCTTGCACTCTGTATGAAAATGTTATCTGTCGTATTGACTAGTCTTGCCTATTAAGAGTTTCCGCCTTGGGTTTCTTTAAAATTTTGAAAGTTCAGTAATTGCATCAAAGTTCAAACGTTTTAATGGGTAACATACATCTGTTTGGGATGGTGAGTGAACTGGAACTGGATATAAAGAATTAAGACTTTCTTGTAACTTGATTGTGATATAAAATTGGAGAAATTGAGTACTTTCTGAAATTTGTGCATGTCAAGGAATGTACTTTTCGTGACAACTGTCTCTTCCAATTTGTGTATAGGTTGTAAGAATGGAGACGGATCACAAGGATTGTTCCGTGAAGGTAGACAAACTTGTTGAAAAGCATACATGGATAGCATCTGAAAAGCAACTTTTTGGAAAAGGAGGGACTGATTATGATTTTGAATCTTGTGATCCGTATGTAGCCAGAGAAAAACTTGAAAAGCTCCAGGCAGATCAATCAGGGTATGTGTATGAGGATTAACATTTATCTTTGTGCAACCTATATTGTCTTTACATTCTTGGAGTGCAATATTAAGATAACATGCATTCTTCTTCTTTTCTTGGTTATTTATTTCCCTCATGAAGCTTGGAAAAAAGAGTGAACAAGAAGGTTATGGCTATGTTTGAGAAAGCAGAAGATGAATACAATGCTCTGATATCGAAGAAAAATACTATCGAGGTCAGTTACAGAGGGCAGAGGGCCTTTCCAATGTATTTCAATAGCTTCGTGTGCCATCACTAATGCAATTTTCTTTGGTTTTTTCTTAGAATGACAAATCAAAAATCACGAAAGTGATTGAGGAGCTTGATGAGAAGAAAAAAGAAACCCTGAAAGTTACGTGGGTTAAAGTTAACCAGTGAGTATCTTTCTTTTCTCCAACAATGAGTTTATCTTTGCTCTTAGGATCATGATCTCGTTCCTCCATGTCTGAAAGGAAAATATGATATTAACCTTTGTCAAAACCTTCGTTTTTAGGGATTTTGGTTCAATCTTTTCAACTCTGTTACCTGGCACCATGGCAAAACTAGAACCTCCTGAAGGCGGTAGCTTCCTTGATGGTCTTGAGGTGCGTGTTGCCTTTGGGAAAGTTTGGAAGCAGTCTTTATCAGAACTCAGTGGAGGGCAAAGATCACTTCTTGCGCTATCACTAATATTGGCATTGCTTCTCTTCAAACCGGCTCCTCTTTATATATTAGATGAGGTACATATCTCCTTTACAATTTCAGATTTCTCAGTTCCCAATAGATATTTCAAATTACCATAGAAGATCTAAAGGATTTGTTCATATTTCTGATGTGGAACACTGGTTTTCAATACCAACAATCAGTAAGAGATAAATACTCACGATTTTGATCTATTCAGGTGGATGCAGCTCTTGATCTCAGTCACACACAGAACATAGGACGAATGATAAAGGCTCATTTCCCTCACTCGCAGGTCTAAATCTCTTTTTGCAAGCTTTACTAATATAATCTTATGTGTGTTTTACTTAATCCAATTTTGGTCTCAAATTTCTTAACAGTTTATCGTGGTCTCGCTGAAAGAAGGAATGTTCAACAACGCCAATGTTCTTTTCCGGACAAAGTTTGTTGATGGAGTTTCTACAGTCCAGAGGACAGTAACAAAGCAGAACAAGTGATATGCTAATACGTCATTAGATCAATGTACTCCAAACAACATCTATCACTATGCAGATTTGCAATCCCATTTATAATTTCATAGCTTAATTTTATAATTTGTATGTCTCTATATATTTTAAAGCTAAAATGCTTACCTGAAGCATTTGGTCGTTTCCGTCTAGCATTCTCTTTGCATTGAAAATCAAGATCTTTGTGTAGAATATGACCGTAGAGTGCTAAATAAAAACAGTTTTTCATAATATATAGGAGGAGATAAGAAAATATATATATTTAGCAAAAAAAAATGAAGAAAATTGAAGACCTAAGACCAAAAAATCAAAACAAAAAAATAATAATTTGGGTTGGGTTATCAATGAAGCTAATTAAATTAATAGTTAATGCATGCAACATAAGAAAATCTGTGGGTCATTCTCAATAGTGGTGAAGATGGTTCTAATATGGTTACACTTGGACATGTCAAGTGCTTTTTTTGAGTGCTTTGAGATCTTCATGATAATCCGGACAAGGGTTGCCGCCATATATGCAGTCAAGACGATTGCTTGAGCTCACGACGTTGCTCTACTGACGCCCATAGCGAGCAAAGGAGAAATAGTAATATTTACAAATGATCACAATAAAGGCAAGCGTCAACAGATTTTCAGTACTAATTAAAATGTTTTGTTTAGGGATTTCGTCAATGATATACTGTTGAAGTGCTTGCATGCGTTACTAATACAAGATAAGAAAGTCAATAATACATTGATAGTTTAAATGCAGGGATGCCAATTGCCAATCAATAAAAATATTTTGAGATAAATATTAGTTATACATTAAACAAATGTATGTTGAAAACTAATTGTACATAGAAATTATTATTGCTCTATCCAAGGCCGAATAATAATTATTATCATCACATAACAATAATATTTTTTTTCCTTAAAATTTATGTTGTTATATTTATAATAAAGGTACCGATAACAAGAATAGATAAGAGATGCCAATACAACAACGAATTCCAAGGTGAACAAGTTCGGTACCAAAACAATAATAATTTTAAATGTACAATTAGTTTTCAACATACATTAGTTTAGTTTTAGAGAGAAGAAAAATCAAATAAAAAAAGAATAGTCACTTTTATGTAAAAGATTCGGAATTCAAACTATCAAAATACATTTTAGTCTTGCATGCTGATGATGTTTATGTTTCAACCCCCCATAAATTTAATAACGACCAACGGAAAGATACATTTGATCTAACTTGTTACAGTTTTTGATTTTTCAACTTGTAGCATGAATCATGCACGAAGAGGGTGATAGACAAATAAATATATAATCAGTTCATGACAATGGTAGGAGAAGAAACGTTTAACAGAAATTAGAAAACAACTTATCGAAATTTATATAATGTGAGAGGTCAAAACATAGATGAGAAAATACTATTAAAAATAAAGTAGGAGTAAGCGGTAGTTGACATTTAATTCTAGTTTACAATTTGACTAAGAAAATAATAAACCACATGGAAAAGAGATTTGTGAAATCTTTTGGCGGTGCACTAGAATAGCAGGAACATGACTGTCTTATGTTGTAAAATACTACATGAACCAACACATTACATTTAATTTTTTATTTATGTTAAATCATCATAAAGTTTTATTATCCTCTCAAGAGATTAGAGACAAGCTATAATTTTAATATTGTCAACGCCTTAATTTCATATGTAATTTGGTTAGTAAGCTAGCCAACGGTCTCTATTGCATGCAATCGCATTCCGATTTGACTTCCACTCTCTTTGAAAATTTTGTATTCAAATCAAATCATTGACAAGTAATCGTATGTCAAACCGCCCTTTCTAACATATCTTATTAATTATATGATCCAATTATTAAAACTGATACTTTGATAATATATAGTTTAATCCTATGAAACGCCTCTTCGAATGTGGATGTGATTCTAATAATATATTATTCATTCATACTACAAAAACAATACTCTATTCCTGCTGAATCATAATATTCGCAGTGTATGTGATGTGATCATCATGTATATATATTTGATTGTTAATTTATCATCAATAACAATACAAACCGTTTTGTGGAGCTAATATCATATATAACAACCATGCATGATATTTTGTGACACTAGGAAAATGTAAAGTTTAACCTTTAGAGCTATAACTTGGTAGTTGTCATTTATTACGGACAGTAATGCTTCAACTCAAAGTTAGATGAGTAAATTAAGATTCTTTAAACAGTTGACAACAAAATAAACTGGAATATATATATGATCAAGTTGCAAAATAAAAATGCAAAGAGCAACCATTTTGGAAACACTCAAAACACTAATGAGGAAATTTATTGAGAGAAGAGATAATTCATCTTGAGGTTTGAGAGATGAGGATTTGGGTAGGCTAAGAAAATCCCACAAGACATGGGGAACTCTCGTGCTTTTCGATACCTCCACATTCCTAGCTAACCTTATATTATATATTTCCAAATAGTACTTTTTTTTTCTAAAAACATTAACTATCATCATATTCCATAAATAGGTCATATATATTTCTACATACTCCATAGTATTTTGATGTTGTGATTAATTGGTCTAATAAAGAAACGAAAAAAAGTCAAGCTCGTTGACCTTTTCATGGCCTATATAAACATATCATAGACGCAACAGAGAGAGTAAGAAGAAACTCACTAAGAAGATTGGAGAGAGAGAAGAAACAGAGAAAGATGAGGAGTGACATGGCACGTCTCAGGTGTGGGAAGACGATTCCACTGCTTGGAATGGGAACTTACTGTCCTCAAAAAGATCGAGAGAGCACCATCTCAGCCGTTCATCAAGCTATCAAGGTTCATTTTCATGTTTTTACTTTGATTATATATAACACAAAATATAAATTTTATCATCAAATGATCTTATAATATAGTCTTTTTTTTTTATATCATTTCTACACCATTCTCATATGATTTTTCATTGGAATGAAAACAGATTGGCTACAGACATTTCGACACAGCAAAGATATATGGATCAGAAGAAGCTCTAGGCACTGCACTTGGACAAGCTATCTCCTATGGAACTGTCCAGAGAGACGATATCTTTGTCACTTCCAAGTTATGGTCTAGTGATCACCACGACCCTATCTCTGCCCTCATACAAACTCTCAAGTAAGCTTCTTTCCACAAACTCTAACTTAATTACCGTATAAAGATTGATATCTCATGATCAAATTTTCTTATGAATTATATAGGACAATGGGTCTAGAGTATCTAGACAATTACTTGGTGCATTGGCCAATAAAGCTAAAGCCAGGAGTGAGTGAGCCAATACCAAAGGAAGATGAGTTTGAGAAAGATTTAGGGATTGAAGAAACTTGGCAAAGCATGGAGAGATGCTTGGAGATGGGTTTGTGTAGATCTATTGGTGTTAGTAACTTCTCTTCTAAGAAGATCTATGATCTCCTCGATTTCGCTTCTGTCCCTCCTTCCGTTAACCAGGTTTGGATTCAACATTAATCACTATCAAGATTTCTTGTTTGGGAAAAATCAAGAAACTAAATATGTGCATATAAAATTTGTATAGGTGGAGATGCATCCTCTGTGGAGACAAAGAAAGCTAAGAGAAGTGTGTGAAGAGAACAATATCCATGTAAGTGGATATTCCCCAATTGGTGGGCCAGGGAATATTTGGGGATCAACGGCTGTGATTGAACATCCTATCATCAAATCCATTGCTCTTAAGCATAATGCCACTCCTGCTCAGGTGACTCCAGAAACTGAGTCCATTCTTCTTTTGTTGATTAGGAGACTTGGATGACTTATAGCTAATACTTTATTTATATATATAAAAAAATAAATGAAGGTGGCTCTAAGATGGGGAATGTCAAAAGGGGCAAGTGTGATAGTGAAGAGCTTTAATGGAGCAAGAATGATAGAGAACAAGAGAGCCTTAGAGATTAAATTGGATGATCAAGACTTGTCACTCATTGACCATTTGGAGGAATGGAAGCTCATGAGAGGAGAGTTCCTTGTTAACCAAACCACAAGCCCTTACAAATCCATCCAACAACTTTGGGATGGTGAGATTTAAATTGACTAGGGATGTGAGTTTCACACATCATCATTCACTTCAAAATGTAATTCCATCTTCACATTCTCTTTTCTTATGATCATTGATCTTTTTCACATTTGTGGTATATAAAGTCATTATTAAAACATGAAAGAACGTCTTCTTGATTGATTTTTGATTCTTTTTTTTTCCAACGAACCATACTTCTTAGAGTCCTCTGCTAGAGCCAGAGGATCATAATTAACCATTGTCGCCGGTACGACTGTTTTCCAACGTAACAAAACAATTAGTCAAACCAGTACCGGTCAACTTGGTCTAATTATAATTTATATAACCAAATTAATAGACTATTCACTTTAACATGGGCCTTAAGCTATGGGCATCCGTAAACTCAGTTTGCAAGAAGTTGAAATATCTCCGTCTCCTTATCTATATCATCGTATTTAGGGTTCTTTTGTTTTCCAAGATTCACATATCGAGTGAGTCATGGCGGGTGTGAAAAAAGTGTCAACTGGAAGCAACGGTTTCTGAAATCTAATCTAGTTAAGCAAAGAGTTTACCCCATGTACATTTAGCTAATAGAAAGTGACCATCAAGTATATGAGTACTGTACTGACTCGTGAGTAGTAAAGTTTAGAGTAACAAGTTTTTAACAAATGCTTTTGGAAGAAGCAGAGTCTCTGTATCATAATCAACTTTAATTTGGACATGAAGATTCATATACCTCTGCAAGTTACTAGCTATGTGATATATATAGTCATAATCATAGTCTATATATAACTTATAGACTCATTTTGAGATTTGTATGTTAATATCCAATTAATTATCTACTGCATGCTCAATGCACAAATGTAATTTTGAGATTTGGTTTCTCTTTTCATTTCTGTTCTTCCCCCCGTTAAAGAAGGGGATGGTGGCTCTCTTTTGCTTCTCTTTTCACTCTTTCCTGTCTTTATCTTTTTCAAACACAAACAAAACACGTTGTAGTCTTTTATATAGAAAGAAGTGCTAAATAAATCTATTATCGGTTATTAGTCTATAAATTAAATTCATACGTATTGTCATAGTTTGCTAATCATTATTATCTTATGTAGGATAACTGCTAATACTTGGTGATCGGTCACTAATCAACTAATCACTTACATAAAGATAACATATTTTTCTTGCTTAACGAGTTATATTTGAACATCAATCCTACTAAAAGATTAAAAATTCAAAATTGTATCGATTACTTTTAAGAACGAATTACTTTTAATTTATTATGGCAAAAAAAGACTAAAAGTAGTCTTTAGTCTCTTTTTCTCGTGTTTGTGTTTTTTACACGGAGGAGATGTCTGTCCGATCGTCGAAGTGGGTGGGATTAAAATAACACGTGTCATATTCTTAGAGGAAGCCATTCGTGTGGAAGTCGACTCACCCAAAGTTTTCCTTTTTATTCACTTTCTTTCTAAGTGAGAGACTTTTCCTTTTTCAACTTTGTCTTCCAATTTTATTTCACTTTTTTTGTTTGTTTAATATGCGATCAAACTCTTTTTCTCTTTAACGATGAAGTCTCTGTTGAATCCACTCGAGTTTTGAGTTTTTTTTTTTTTTCCTTTTTGCATTGAAAAACCTTACGTAACCAGAAAAATTGGTCTAACTTGGTTAATGGTTATAAAGAAACCTTTTTTCTTTAAAGAAACTTGTGTGACATTAGATGTAGCAAGACATGTAATTAAAAATGAATTAATTAAGAAAATGGGGCTAATTTGGTTACAAAGCTATCTATGCATATCGGTTCTGGAAAAGGCTAGATTGAAACTATATTTAAGAGTCTTCTGCTTGTTAAAGCTTTTGTTAAGATTGTTAAAAGCAAAATATATACTCTAGTGAAACACCATGGTGAAGTATTTTTTTGAAACATGGTGGACTAATCACTAGTGGAGGGTTAATTCTCAAATCCGATGATTGATGAGAGTATTCATATCGGCATTCTTATTTTATTCCATATGATATGAAGGAAAAAAGGCAAATAGAAAAATGCATGGTCGTCATCTATCATCTATTGAGAAGCTCCCGACTTGTGATATATAATATTTTTGGGTCGGAAAGATAAGGAAAAAAGATACCTATCTACATGAAATATGCTACAATACATGGCTACACATCCGGAGTTTAAAAATGTATCTCTAACTACATAAACTATATGTATTACATGCCCACATATACGAACTATATGTAGTCATGTCGCCAACATCACGAACATTTTTTTCGGTACACTTTTCGCCGGAATCCAGCGTTGACCAGTTTTACCGGCGTTGACCAACATAAATATTCAAAAAAAAAATTAGTTTTTTAATATTTAGAAATTATGTTATTGAATCATTTATAATATTGTAAATTAAAATATATATATACAATATTCAATATAAAAATATTTTGTATATATATTCAATGCATTGATTTTTATAATTAGTTAGTTTCGATAATTTCAAAACTAAACTAAAATAAAAAAACCAATTAGGTAAAATAATAATAAAAAATAAAACTTAAAATAAATAAAAAATCACAATGTTTCTTTTAAATATTTATAAGATAGAAGATCTAACAATTTTTATAACTAGTAGAATAAAACTCACACATAATTGGTTTGATTCTAATGCTTTAATATTTAAAATTCACATATTATATATTAAATATTCAAATATTAAACCAAATGATACTCATGTCCGAATATTTTTTAAAATAGGAAATTTTTCTGTTTATTATTATTTTTCCTAATTGCTTTTTTTTTTAGTTTAGCTTTGAATTATCGAAACTAACTAATTATAAAAATCAATGCATTGAATATATATATACAAAATATTTTTATATTAAAAATTGTATATATTTTCTTAATTATACAATATTATAAATGATTCAAAAACATATTTTTAAAAAATAATAAAAACCTAAAAAGATCTTTTTTTGAATATTTATGTTGGTCAATGCCGGTCAAACGGGTCAACGCCGGATTCCGGCCAAAAGTGTACCGGAAAAAATGTTCGTGATGTTGGCGACATGACTACATATAGTTCATATATGTGGGCATGCAATACATATACTTTGTGTAGTTAGAGATACATTTTTAAACTTCAGATGTGTGACCATGTATTATAACATATTTTATGTATGTAGGTATTTTTTTGCGAAAGATAATACTGACTAAAATATCAAAGTGATAGTAGTATAAAGAAAAAAAAAGCAACGTGTCGTGCTTTTACTTTCAGCGAAGAAAAAAGATACTATTTATTGTCCCACATTATTAAGAATTATTAAAAGGAATAAAAAATGGTTTAGGATAAATCACATTTGTGGCTAATATTAATTGAGCTGTCCAAAAAATATCTAAGTTGCTATCAGACACACACAGACCAAAGTTCAGAAATAAATTTGGGTACACAAATGTGATACATCATTTTCACACAACAAGTATTTCATAAAGGAGGAAATAAAAACAAGGAAACAAATGATTATATTCTGAATTTCTGACCATCTCGACTATGGAAGAGACAGTTTTTTTTTTCATTTTTTTTTGGTTTTGTTAAATCCTTGTTTTGATCTTATAAAAAGAATCTTATACCATGTTTCTATCAGATAAAGTATTTGATAAAGTACATTAGTTCATTTGGTTGGTCAACATATTATCCAAAAACGAATTTTCTTAATTAATCTTGGAGATTTATTTATCATCCAAAAATTATACTATTGAACTTTACAACAAGAAACGAAAAAATTAAAAATACATTAAAAAAAATTAACGACAGTTTTGAAGACACTGGCCAGAATTGACATACCCTATGATGCATTCTAATTTATTGCTTTGTTTTCCATATTCAACGTTATGTTTTATGATGTTTTATCGTGCCCACCAGCACCAGCACACGATTATATATTTTATCTCACAATAAGAGGTCAAATTCAAGCAAAATATACTTTTTCTCTTCTGCATTATTATCTTATCTTACTTTACTTATCCACTCATGTGTGTAAAGTAGCTAAAGTTATCTATCTCATATCTTACAAGTTACAACAGTTCTTATATATACTTACTGTTAGCTCTAATAGGTCAAAAGGAAAATTTTCCTTCATCGTTATGTAATCTTATAACAAAAATCAAACTTAAAAGACTAAAAAAAGTGTATGGTACAAAAACTATAAAGCCTCGTGTAAGCCACGACCGAAAGAAGAAAAACAAAAGACAGAGTTAACCTTATCTATATTGCTATACATACGTGACATATACGTTTAGGTATATATCGTATGTATACACAATCACATCTGTTCGTGGAAATTGACTGATCTTGATAACGCAGCTGGGTTAGCACAAAGAACAAGTGAAGTCTCTGTTTCTTCTTTGTTCATAACCTTAGCCTCTTTCTTCGAATCAAACCCTTTGAACAGAACGTCGTTCTTGATTCCAAGTGTTGTCCATATAGAACTCTTTGCAGCTTCATTAGGATCATCGATTCTCAAAGTCTTGGGAACCAGTACCGATCTATTCTTCTGCTGTTTCATCGTCTCCTCTTCGTCTCTCAAATGCTTACCAAGTGTAGAATTAGGACTAGAATTATTAACCGGAGATGACAACATTGGAACGTTCCAATAAGGGTAAACCGGGTAAAAACCGGGGTTCCACGCGTACGGCCACGAAACTCCCGGAAAGCAATCCAAACCGTTGGAAGTGGTGTTATTAGAGCAGTCGTCATTAATGTTCTCTATCCTAGACACTGCTGGCTTTGGATTCCCGAACATATGATTCGAGACCTTCTGATCATCTCCAAGGCTGAAGCTAAGGACGGGACCATTCGTTTCGGAGATGGTCACGTGGTGGTAGTGCGGAGATGATGAGGTTGAGTTGTTGGTAGTCTTGCTCTTACGTCGTCCAGCTCCGACGGGAACACTTCTCATGGTCCCACCAGAGGTCCAGTATCTCTGACAAGCTTTACAGAAATGGCGGGGTTGGTTTACGTTGTAGTTGTTGTAGTAACAGAACTTTGTCTCCATGCTATTGCATCTCGGACATGGAAGAATCTTGGTCGGTTTTTTTAAGGTTTTGTCTTTCTCCGATTGATCGGTTAACGTCTCGTTTTGGTTCTGATGGAAGACAATCGAATTTGATTATTAGAAACGGATGAATAATAAAGTAGGAATGATTTGTTTTAAAGCATGTTACAAAGAAGTGAGTTTTTACTATGAGTATATGATTCTCAAGAAGAAGGTTCTAGAGAAAATTTTGGTGGAGGAAAAAGTCTTTTAAAGAACACCTTTGTTGATTTGATTAAACGGAAAAAAGCAAAAAAAAAAAAAAAGATTATTAAATGGAGAAAAAGAATTTGCTATTTCGTTTCATGAAAAGTCATCAAACAAAACTGAAAACCTCTGGTTCACCAAATCACTTAGAACAGAGAACAACAAACAGAGGATGTTGAAGTTTTAAGAAGTTTGAACAAATTCATCAAAAATTCGGATTTAAAAAAGAAGACACAAAACCTATGAGTTTTGCCTTTTAAGGATATAAATATGAGCAACAACTTTTTAAAACAGAAAGCACTTTTTTCAGTTTATCTTCAGTTGTCAGATATTTAACTGAAGATTTTTATTTATATAAGTTCAAAGTCCAATTCCTAAATAATTTACTCGAAACATGTATGTAACAAAAACAGTAATCACAGTTACCTTTTCATCTTCATCGGTTACATCTAAAACCGTCGGAAAAGGAATTTTCATACCGAAGAGCTTAATCGCTGGATCTTTACTCTCCAGCATTATTTCTTCTTTCCTTTAGTTTTTTTTTTCTTGCTTCTCGTAGGTTTCTTTCTCTTCCAGGTGATTTTTTTTTGAGAGGGTTTTGGGTTAAGGGTGAGATTGGAAATATTTTTGGTTTGGAAAGCTTGTGAGAGTTGGGATTTTGATACGTTTTTAAAAGTAAAATTTGGATGCCAGGTCAGCATTTTCGTTTCATTCTCAACCACAAGTTTATGTGGCCTCTGATATTTTACTTTTCTCCCTATTGATCGAACCCATATATAAGCATATAATCTTTACTTATTTTTCTATACACTTTTGTTAAAATGATTCCAATCTTTCTGAGAATATCATTTTTTATTTCATTTTTTTCTTTTATTAACTTTCACTAAACTTTCTGTTGAACACATAAACAAAAGACTCTCATTAGTATTCACTTATATACTTTTGGAACAAAGGCTTGATAACATACGAAAAACGAAGAGTCCCTAAATAAGATGGTAATGAAGTCAAGTTTTAAAGAAAAAGTGAGTAATATAGACGATATAGTACTGTTATTAGATTCGATTTAAAACATATCATGAACAGTGATCTATCTATATGTTTGTTTGAATTTGGAAAACAATAAAACTAATACAATGTAGAAACTGTTTACAAACTTTATGGGTAGGTAAATGTCAGCATCGCGGGGATGGCTTTGGTGCAGAGCTGTCTTCTTTCTTACGTGCAATTTCTTAATTGGTAGCTACAAAGGATAAAAATCCTTCATTCGAAAACGATCCACCCTTTTTTTGCCCTGGAGAAACATATAACCCTCTTTTTTCTCTTTTCATTTATGAACCTTTGTGTTTAAGTAAGTAATACAAAATACAACGAGGATTTAAACATTTTCATTTTCATTTTCATTTTGGTTGTTCAATCAAAGTGTTTTTTGTGGGTTTCATGAATTCATATTACTGTAGGAAAATGTAATATATATATTATATGTGAGGTGCTCTCTCATTGGCTATTACCAAAAAGAGGTCTTTAAAGGAGTCTGCCACATTTGTATGATTTACCAAACTCTATAGGATTTGATTTAAACGTACATGAAGATAGATCTAAACCAGACTCTTGCCTTTTCCCACGTCAACGTCTAGTCTACTGCGTGGGTCCGTTGGTTAGATCATAGATTTCACAAACTGATTGCCTTGCAGTTAGACCGTACTTAAGATGCTTTCTAAATCTAACAAGGCATAACAGAGCAAAAAGAAAGAAGAAAAATAATTGTTGTAGCTTCAAAAGAGAACTACATTTTAACATAACACAACACTATCAAGTGAAAGTGTTTTATCTGGACTTTGATTTGAGCTTTTAGTTTTTGGATCTGGTGGTTATATTAAATAGTAGTATATAGACATCAAAAACTTTAGTCCAGTATTAGATGATATGGTTTCCGTTTCTGATTAAGTGAATAGTTACGAGTTTCTTCTTGGACTGTCAAAACGTTTTGAAACATAGAGTAGAATTCAAATCCATTGAAGCGTCTTATGTTTTTTTCTTTCTTCTTCTTCTCATGTTATCAATTAGAGTCAAGATTCTTCTTCTTCTTCTTCTTCAGCAATAATAGGTCATATAAACTGACAAATTTTCTCGGAAAAAAATACAATAGCATTCGACAAGATCATAATTCCTTTTTAAGTTTTGAGAAACAGAACTAAATCTGAAATTTTCAAAATTTTCTTTTGAAACCAAGGCATCAAGAGTCAGCAGATTTATCTTCTGAATCTTCCCCCTCTACCACCTCCGCGACCGCCTCTTCTTCCGCCACCACCACCGCGGCCACCTCCGCCATGTCCGTTGCCGTTAGCTCCAGGAGTCTTCATGTTTTCAGGCAATGGGAGGATTTGATCAACACACTTCCTGAAGCTGAAATCGTCTGCAGTATCGTCTTCCCTAACCAGAAAGAAGCATCGGCTTTTCCACATCGGGTGGGTTCTGACTTGGAAGGTTTTGATTCCTCCTCCAATCTTCTTTTCTGGCTCAGAATGGCCCTTCTTGATCAGATCTAGCAGCACCATGTGCTCATACTGAAAATATACAGTCAAGAACAACATTCAGTACACCAGGTTAGATAGAAGCTCCAAAGAAACTGCAACGCTGTAATATGACATAAGCGTGTAATGCTTTATCATTTATATGCTTGAAGCCAAATCGGTGCAATCAAAGATTTGATGTCATTCCATTCTAACCATTAAATGACACAAAAGTATCTAATTCAAAGAAAAAACCATAATCACATAATCAATAAAAAAACACAGTCGCCAAGAACTTTTGAGTAGTAGTAATAGCTGCCAAAGAACCTAATCACTAAGTTGTCTCAACAAACTGCATAATCCAATACCACAATCATTATAAACAATCAATAATTTGAAGCCAAAAAAGAAGTTTCTAACTCCGAACTCAATCTAGAGAAACAATATACAAAGATCATCAGAGTAGAACCAATTTCCAAAGTTGTATCAAATTTGACAAAAAGCACGACTATGTTCATTGATAAACACAAGAACAAAATTACTATCCCCAATCTCTTGTTCGCTTCAAAACAATGGTGACCACTTCTACTTCTAAGATTAGGAACCAAAACCAAATAATGAATGAACTTTTGTAAGGCAATTGAAACTTTGCAATTAAAAAAGCGAAGAAGACAAAAGAAGAAGAGTAACCAAAATATGCATACCTTATTAACATCGAGATCAGTTGGCCAAAAGTGCAAAAATTTGACAAAGTAATCGAACATCGCCACGGAGGTAACGAACTCCTTCGGACCGAGTTTGACCGGACCTGACTTCTCTTCATCTCCCAGCTTCTGCTTCTTCGATTCACCTCCGTTCTCTTCCTCCTCTGTCTCCTCTCTCTCACGTTTCTCATCGACCGTCTCAGCTTTCGGGGCCGCGGCTTCGACTTCCATATCAACTTTTGTGTCTGGGTTCGCTTCAGCTGGGACTGAATCGATGATCTCTTGTTGCTCAGCCATTGTTAAACTAGTAAAGCTTCCGCCTTTTTTTCTTCTCCTCTTTCTGTTTCTACGATTTCTAGGGTTTAAGCTTTTAGGGTGAGTGACTCCTACTAAAATCGGCTAAGCGGTTGTCTATCTATATATATGGTTTCGCTTTCTGATTAAACCGAACCGGTTCGGTCTATTGGACTTTTTTGCCCCTGTCTCTTAATTTTTTTTCGCTTTAAAATCAAAGTTATCTACAAATTACCTTTACTGTTTTATAAAAATTTGGATTATAATCAGACCGAAGCAAACATGAATAAAATCATAGAAGAAAAAATCAAAAATCTGATAGTTGGTACCATAAATTTATAAAATATAATCTTTCAACCACTCTACCATCATAAATTTGTTAAAATATACTTATTTGATGTTATTAAACATGCTATGGTTTATATAAAAAATTTTAAAAACGACAAGAATAACTTTGGAATCGAAAAAGACAGAATTTTAAAAGAAAACGTTTTGGAGTGTTCGTCCTGTCGGATACCTTGGCTTGGATTTTTTGGACGTTTTTAATTTTGGTTCAATCGCAATTTTTGCCAAGGAGGAAAATGTCAAAGTCAAACTATATACATCTCTTGAAATTAATGAAACTTCTTATTATTGCAAATTTTATTATTGCCTTGTGTAAAAAAAAAAGAAGACTAATAATACTTCTTGAAATAAAATGAATAATATAAATGGTGCATCTAGTCAAATTTACCATATTATCAACAGTCAAACACCTCAATCTTTGAAATTTCTAAAAATACCAAATTATTTTTATTGTTTTAGGTAAGAGATATGGTTGTGTTATCTAAAATCTAATAAGAAGAAATAAATTAAAAAAAAAAAGGGAATGAAGAAACCAAAATAAGGTACAAAAGTAAAAAAAAATTAAAAAAAATTGAGAAAATCTGATTATCACGTTACCGTGTCAAACCGTCAACCTCCATAGCTCCCCGGTTTGTGTATTTTTGTTTTTGTATAATAAATCTCTACAGATACACTACACGCGGTTCGAGATTTTAATTGCTTATCTAAAAAAATTTCAGACCGAACACCAAACAAGAAAATCACATTTGTCCGAAATCACGGTCTGATTGAGAGAGAGCTTCTTTTCCCCATTCCCTGCGATTTTGAAGGTAAAACCACAATTTCGGTTCTTTTGATCTATTTCATTTTGTTTCTTTAGGGTTCGTTGTTTGATTCTGGGATTTGGGAATTTTTTTTTCTGCGGTTTTAGGGTTTCATTCTTAAAATTTTGAACGAATCGAATGGTTATCTCTATCTCTCTACCTCTCTCATTATCATGGTTGAGATTGGATTCTCAAGTTTGGGTTTTGTGTGTAGAAAATTTGATTGGGAAATTTTGAGACCAAGACATTTAACTCAGATCCTAATCTTTTTCCATTGAATTTGTTTGGCTGAGCTGAATTGTGAATTGTGATGTTTGGTTTCAGAGAAATGAAGACTCTCGCTTAAAAATGAAACGTTTGTGTCATTTTGCTTCGATGATTATGAGAATTATCTTTTGAATTGTTGGAGCTAATCTTGTTCTTTTAACAGGTCAACGTTTTGTTGTTTACGCATTGAGGAGGCTAAGAAGTTTGAGAGAAGAGATGGCTGATCATCTGAGTTCATGTACCGACCGTCTCGTAACACCTGAAACCTTAAATTCAGATAGAGGATCCAACGAAACAATTGAATCTTCTGGAGAGAGTTCTAAAGCTCAAGGCAGCACAAGCCTGTCTACTACTACGAAAACCAAGGAAGACGGAGAAGCAACGGAACAGCGCCATGTGGCTGACGAAGAGGAGCCGCTGATCCAATCTGTTGAATGTCGTATTTGCCAAGAGGAAGATTCCGTTAAGAACCTCGAGTCACCTTGTTCTTGTAGTGGCAGTTTGAAGGTAAATTGTTTTTATTGATGACTCTACTATCTCATTGTCATTATTCCTTTTAAGATAAGTTCTCATGAATTTGTTTTCTTGTGTTTGCTTTAGTATGCACATCGGAAGTGTGTTCAACGTTGGTGTAATGAGAAAGGCGACATAACCTGTGAAATTTGCCACAAGGTAAATCAAATCACTAACAGCCTTTTGTATAATCTTTTGGTTACAAGTTTACTACATGCTAATTTTTTCGGATAAATTAGTTCGTTTACCGGAATCCAAGTTTATATCTGTTTTTTCTTCTGGATGGAAACAGTCTTATCAACCTGGATACACCGCTCCACCGCCTCCTCCTGCTGATGAAACCGTAATTGATATCGGGTAAAGTTCTTTCTGAATCTATGTAGCTGGACTCAAACATTGGAAATTCTTCTTTTTTCAATAGATTCTCTATTACTCTATAAGACATAACTATATCTCATCATATACAATCAAGGGCATTACTCATGCTGCTCTTGTGTCTTGTTATTATACAGTGAAGATTGGGCCAATGGTGTTCCAATCGATCTGAACGACCCGCGCATTTTGGCAATGGCGGCTGCAGAGCGCCATTTCTTTGATGCGGAATATGACGAATACGCTGACTCTAACTCAAGTGGAGCTGCTTTTTGTCGCTCCGCTGCTCTTATTGTAAGTCCATATTTATCGTTATTCATTAATATAACTTACTGTGAAATAGAAACTTATTAACAGTTAAATGGCAGTTGATGGCGCTTTTACTGTTACGACACGCACTGAACCTTTCAAACAACAACTCAGACGATGAAGAAGATGATCCATCAGCTTTCTTCTTTGTACGTAAATCCCACTTACTAAGCAGTTCATTACATAGTTCTCCTTTTTACTTTCTTGTTTTAACACATTTTGGTTTGGTTTTCGCCAGCTTTTCATGCTTCGTGCCGCCGGTTTTCTTCTCCCGTGTTACATCATGGCTTGGGCTATTAGTATATTACAACGTCGCAGGCAAAGACAGGTAATATAAAAAATCTCTGGGAGAAAAACACAAACACATGCATCTTAGAAGTCGTGTTTGTAAATGTTTTTCTTTTGTGAAAATCAGGAAGCGGCTGCTCTGGCTGCTGCAGAGGTAGCGTTTATGTTGCACAGCGGCGGGGGCGGTGGAGGACAACGTAGAGGAGGATTACATTTTGCTGTAGCACCTGAGCTAATATCTAATCCACACCACCAACCTGAAGCTTCGCCTCAATGATAATATTACCAATCACTGGTATGAGATTTGTGTGTGTCTCAGTGTCTGTGTAGTAAGCCTTGTGTGTTTGTGTTACCTGGTTTTGCTTGCTCTCATCAAACACACAAACTGAGATCTTAAAACCACAAAGAAAAACACGACAAGTTTCTTCTTTGTCTATCATCTTACGAAAATAAAAGATTGTTCGCATGTTGAATTTGTGTTTTTGCTTTTAATTAATCTTGTTAACTCAACTCTTTTGTTACTTACATAAGAAAATGGCAAAATAGTAAATGAGGGGGTAGTCGTCGACTAGCCGAGCATAAATTTAATCTTTGTTATGGACCGAGTGGACCCTTATGGAGAGGCCCAAATAAGATATTTAAAAGTCTTAATTCCTCTTTCTATTTTTGTTCTAATTTCGTTTTTGACAAAAGTCTTCTTTAACTCTATTTAATCCCAACCAAGCAAAGCAGGGGAAGAGTCGCCGACTCGTTGAACTCCTTTCTATGCCAGCAGGAAGGATTTTGACATCAGACTGAAAGAAAAAATGTGTTATCAGAAGAATATTACTATTATTTAACATAATATGCATGAAAGAAAGAAACAAACAAAAAATAATCCATTCAGTGGGAAAAACTTACATGAAAAAGAGTTTGAACACTTTCGAGATTCGATGTTACTCAGTCTTACATATATACAGAGACGACACTGTGCACCGAAAATAAAACTGACATTATATATGTAAATGTGGAGAAGAAGAATGAATGAGTCCAGTTTTGAAGTCAACGTCCGAGATAAAGAAAAACAAAAACAAGTCAAGGACTGAAGAGTGTGAAATTAATTAGATTCAGAATAAAAAAAAGAGGAGTTTTTCGGTGGCTAATAATAATAAAAAGTCATACAATAACATATACTAACACTATAGAGATAGATTGATAGATAGCTCACTGTGCTTCACAGGCACAAGTCAAGCCCTTCACATGTTAGCATTTATTACTCTCTTTTTTATTTGTTATATAATTTTCAAAATTCGTTTCAACCACTAGATTTTTTTGCCTCCTTTTCTTTATTAATTGTACGCGTATGTGTGTACTGTATTGTATTGTATACGTATTGGTAATATCTGTGCGCCTCCATATTGTATTCACACTTTTTATATTTCACACATCAATTTGTTTGATTAAGGATTATATATATCATTGGCTTGTTTTGTTTTGAGAAAGATACATCAACCCATCATAATATCCCTTATATGTATTATACCCAAAACATTGTTAATATTTCAAATCCGTAGGATTAAATATTGTTGATGAAAAAAATGTGGACATGTTTTTTTTTTTTTTTTCATTACCATTAAAACTGTTCTACTACGGATTCGAAATGCTTCTTCAAGAATTTAGAAAAATAATAAAAAGAAGAACTGAGGAAATAATTTTGACAACTCTGCTTTCTTTATGTATATATAAAATACAATTTCACATATAATATTGCTACAATATTTATTTCTGACAAGATATTATAATAATATTACATTACAAATCTGCATTATCACTTACTGCCTTATCACACAATTAATATTAAATAACAAAAATAATTAAATGTATTAATGTTGGAGTTAATTCAGTAGGTGGAATCTTTAATGGCATTTTTTCTTCCGGGATTATGATTGATTTGAAAGGACTAAAGATCGTTGATGACACACAAAAAAAAAAAAGGACTAAAGATCGATAAGTGAAACATTTTTTACTGTTTTCAATACAACACTGATCTGAACAAAAATCAAACTTTTTAATTATATGAAAGTATATTGATCAAATATGGGATCTTAATCAAACCAATCGATATTAGATTAAGTTTTGTATCATTTACTAAACCTAGCTTTACAATTACGAATTTTCTGTGTTTAAGTAGATATTAAATATTTGAATAATCAGTAACATTAGAAGACATTTGTATAACCATATGAGCCACAAAGTGCAACACATTACATTTATAAAGATGCTGAACACTTTGTGTTACGTTCTGCTACATATATAGAAAACGAGAAAGATTATAACACCAAAAGGGGAAAAGAGTGTTGTAGAGCTAAAAGCTAGCTACTAAAGACTCTAAAACCCTAATGCAAGGATAAACACATATATTATAGGCTATAACTCTATATTATTTGTTTAACTCATGACTAATTAAGCCCTCAATTTGAATGATCCCACTTTGTAGAGTTCTAGTGTTCTAGAACTAGAAGTCTAGAACATCGCAACTTGTCCTTCTAGTGACATACCAACCATGTCGTGGCTTTGCTCATCAAATAACCATTTCTCCAACAAAGACAAAGACCCTTGTGATATTAAACCCTGATCTTGGTCCATTATTATTTCCGGCTTGATCTCTTGACCATGGAAGAAGCTTGTCTCCTGAGTCAAATTTTGAGTTTCTTCTATCGAATTGAAGCTGAAGAAAGAATGTTCAAACCCTTCTCCACCTTCTTCCGAAACTGCAGCAGCGAGTGGTCCGGTCTCTGAAACCGGAGATGAAGATGATAGAGTTAAAGCCTTTGGTGTGTCTTTCATGAAGTCCTGAAGCAACCGAGCGATGTTCTCAGCGCTTGACGCATACACCCCTGATGGGTATGGATTAGTGGTGTTGCTTGTAGTGGTGGCTGTGGTTGTGGTAGAGGACGAAGAAGACGATGGATCATAACAACGGTCTAGCAAAGCTGATGAGAAGGTAGGGGTGTTCTGTGGTGTGATAGCTGGTGTCGGTAATGATGATGATGATGATGGCGAAAGAGTTGATGATGGTTTGTCCAAAGACAAAGCCTCACAAAGAGCTTGTTTTGCCATGTTGATATCTGTCTGAAGTCTTCTCTCCCATTGACCTTTGTTAGTGCTTTGATGATGCTTTTGTGAACTAGTGGTTGATGAAGAGACGCCGCCATCATTGTCTTCTTCACCAGATTCATTAATCTTTTTGAGCTTCTTCTTCAAGTGGGTGTTCCAATAGTTCTTTATATCATTGTCCGTCCTTTCAGGAAGGTATGATGCTATGGCTGCCCATCTATACACAAAGAAAAACATTTTTAGATCTTATACCCACACTATACATAAAAATACGCCAAGAAAGGAAACGTTTTGGACTAAAACATGTGCATAAAAAATATACCTGTTGCCTAAAAGAGCTTGAAGATGAACAATCGTCTTCTCTTCATGCTCAGTGAAGTTTCCACGCTTAATACCGGGTCGAAGATAATTAGTCCATCTCAATCTGCAGCTCTTGCTACATCTCCTCAGTCCTAAAACACCAAATTAACAAAGATTAGTTTTAACCCCAAATAATTAAAATTAGAGAAAAAGGGATTAAATGGTTATTAGAGATGTGTGGACGAAAGAGTTGGTGACATAACTTATAGGCTATTTATTACACTTGTATTAAATGTTCATACCAACCAAGCCAGAGAACAAGCAAATCACAACCCCTAGTAAACTTTCAAGATAAATACTACTAGTACCACTACATAAAAGAGTTCTTTAGGAGGTGGGTCAAAAGTTTAATCATCAAACTAGGTAAGTTAATTTGATCAAAGAAACAAAGACAAACCTGTATTAGTAGGGACAGATCTCCAGTTTCCAGGACCATGTTCTTGAATGTAAGAAACCAAGATGATATCTTCCTCTGGTGTCCATGGCCCTTTCTTCACTCCAACCTTTTCACAGCAAGGTGGTCTTCCCATTTCTTGCTCCTTCTGTTGAGAGGTTTTGATGCGATTTTAAGATAGAAGCTAATCGTTGTGGTTTTGCCGGAATAAAATCTTTGGGAAATATTAGGGTTAAAAAGACAAAGAAAGTCCAAATGGGTTTGGTTTTGTCTGAAGAAGTGAGGAGAGATGTTGGCTATATTTATAGCAAAAGTGAGTAAGATAAAGATGAGAGAGAGAGATAGAGGAAAAGTTAATTAGTAAGTAATCAATTAATTAAAGATAATGGAATGAAAAGCAACAATAATGAAGAGGCTGGCTTCAAAGAGTCAACATGGACAGCAAAATGCATTTACTCTCTTTTTCTCTCCAAAGTCAGCCTTCTTCCTTGTATCTCTCTCCTTCTTTGGAGTACTACACGGTTTCAAACTCGTACATTTTAGTTGTTGTTTTTTCTAATAACAAATTATTTGTTTTGACGTTTGCGTTTTGTAATTAAAATATTATCTTCTTATATTTATCTATAAAAATAATACTATAATGATTCTTTTGGTGTACGTTTTAATTTAGAAATAACAAACACAACACAAAACGTAATAATATACATCCCCTTCCAATTATATATGCTTTTGCGTTTTTTTTGTCTCTATTCTATTATCATCCCTTGCACGCCATATTTCCAAGTTTGAATCCGAAATATTACACAAGATCAGTGTACATACTAATATACATACTAATACATACTACGTACTTTACAAGTCTTGGTTTCTTTACAGGTGCCCAACGCAAATATATATAAATTCACGTAAAAGAACAATCGGGTTCGTATATGAACTCATAACAACTGTTATTAGTTAAACACTTGCCACCAATTGTATTTTAATGCATTAACCTTATGAAAAAAAGGCATCGACTACTCATATACGTGTTGATCATATCCAAGTATCTATCATCTCATTATTGAGTTAGAAAATCTCTAATGAGTATGTTTTAACTATTTTGTTTAAACCATCGAGTAATTAGTAAATCAGTTACACAAACACTTACTTATATTACTAGCGGATCTGCGAAGTTTTTGACAAATAAAAAATATTGAATATATAATATATAGGATATGCATGATAAGTTCATGTATGTGTGAATATATCTCAGTTCGGACATTCAAAGCCGTGTGGTGCTGATAAATGCAAAGATGTGTGAGAGGAGGGAGGTGGCACCGAAAGAAGACAAAAATAAAAGAGGCGAAAAAGGCTATTATTTCGATATTCTTGTGATTTTTTCATTTATCAGATAACTAGCTTCTAATAGCGAAATGTGCTTTTTTAGAAGTTTTATTTCTCTATTTAAGAGAAATTTTTTTTTTTCTAAATTTACAATGCTGAATTCATTTATCAGATAAATAGCTTATAATAACTTTTTAACTAGGAACTGCATCGGCAAGAGATCTTGTAACTAGCATAAGCGAGTACATATACATATATATATATATATATATATATATATAATTAATTCGTAGTTAAATAATAAATTCATCGATTTCCAAATTTTTAGCAACTTACACCATGCAGCCCTAATTTAATGTCACATCTATTTTTGCGAATACATCCATTGAATTGTCGACCCCTCAAAAGTCCATAGATTATGGGGTAATACATATGGAGCATCTTTATTTATTACTAGTTTGATTAGTAATATGTCCCTTTATTAAATGCCCTCACTAGCAAAACTTAAATTTTACTCGAACAAAAATAATTGAGAAAAAAAAACTTAATATATTTGTAATTTTTTGAGTTTATTTTTTTGGAAAGCATTAGAAAAAACTTTAAAGGACAAGGATTAAATAGTTCTACAGAAAAATTATTTATAGACAACTGTAAGTACTGAATCCTTAAGATGTCAATTTTACCGACCAATTAATTTACTCTTCTCCATTTGACAGGCTCGTGTATTAACTCTCACAGTAAAGTTTTATGCACATCCTCTTATATATTTAATCCAACTTGAGAACTAAATGCGATTCGCAAAATGACTAAGGACTAGCACAATACGGTACTCTTCCACTCACACATAAACACATTACTTAATAAAGTAATAAACCTTTCGTTAAATCAATCTTGTTTTTCTTTCTTTATAATTACATTAGCACGCGGATTATCAGGATGATGACTTCTTATTTATTGATTAAAGAATACATTTTGCTACATAAAAAAGAAAAAAAAAACTAAAAACTGACAAATTTGTATTGGTTAAATGTTTTGATAAATCAAAACTTGTACAAGAAACAAGAGGAATGTTGCGAAGCACGTCGTGGCTGTGTGCATTGAGCTTCTAAATTAATTATTTCTTCCGACGTGCATTGAGCTTCTAAAATGAATATGTATATTTTTATTCATGCCCTTTAAATTAGTAATATATCATAATGGATATATAAATTACAGTAATATGCTTTTCCACGACGAGTTAAAATTTCATGGAAATTTTTCTTTAAAAAAGAGTTAGGTTGAAATTCTAGTGCATCTACATAACACACCACGTCCTTTTGGGGTGCATCGCCCATAACTGTATATTTACTCATCATCGGGGTCACATATTAACTTTAATTTGACCCCCCATCGCGACCTACCTTATAGTACTTTTATTTGAAACATATATTAAGTTGTTTATAGAACTGTACTGATTTATAAAAATTTACTACTTAAAACATAAATAAATTTAAGTATTTTATACTAGAACTGTACTAGTTTATAAATGCACATGTTTACATGTTTTCTTTATTAAGATCAACTAATGAAAGTCCTATTTTCCCTCGTTAAAACGTGACTTTTTTTTATTTTGAAATAGAACTTTTCATTGTTTTGGTGAAGCTTTACTGTCACAATAAACCTACTTTTCATTGTTTCATTAAAGTATAATTTATAAGTTTTAAGTCAAAACTCAAAAGAGATAGTTGCCTTTCGAGGAGATTTTGAAACTATCGATATAACGAAACAAAACAGTACGGGAGACCAAAAAAAGTTATATAATTTTATGGTTACATTATTTTATTCTTATATTTTAGTAATATATTAACTGCATCTTATTCTTCGAGCTCTTAAGTTTTTTTTTTTTTTTTTTCTATAGTCAGTTTGAAAGTTCCTACGATGCTTCCTAGAGAGTTACCAGAAGATTAATATGGGATGAAACAAGTCAACGACTATGGTCGTCTTTTGGATTGTAGACGAACTTTGGGGTCATATCTTATTTTATACGCTGTGTAATTAAATAATTGGTAGGTTAACTTAGGTTTTATTATAGTATCAATAACAAAACTTAGGGTTTAATATTTTAATCCCCAAAAAATAAGGGCTTAAATTGACTGTAGCGAGGCACGTGCCACTATCTAAAGAGTAAAATCAGGAAACTTAGTTTTACACTTATGAAACTGTTAGATTATTGTGCCCCATCGTCTAATGATATATGCAACCTTGATTAACGTTTAATCAGAGGTCTAACTTTGATAGATCTTGCCGATGTACATTTTCGCCACATTAGGTTTGCAAGAGTTTTATTTTCTTCTTTTTAACTTTATCAAATTATTTAACGTTAGCACTAACATTTTCATATACTATGAAACAAAAAACAAAATTTTCAATAAAATAGCCAATAAGAGATCAACAACTCTTACGTAAGCATAAGCATAAGCAAATATTAAGGCATGGCAGTGTACTGCCCACTTTGGATAAGTAACTATTATAGCCAGAATCCGTACCTAAACCGGTTGAACCTAGAGACACACTTTAGGTAAGTCGGGCCAAATCGTGGGTTCGAATATCTAATGCTCGGAGGGGACAACATGTTTTTGCCTTCGGTACGAGTAGATATATGAGTTTCTCATTTTTATTTTTATTTTGTTATCAATCTACTGTATTTTACAGTATATAGTACATTGTATATCAGTATAACTTAATTTGTTAAAAATAAAATTTAGCCAATAATGGAACTCTTTAAATATTATATTTTGTAAGAAACTTCTACTAAAAAGTTTCAGATCAGTTTAATGTGTATATTATATATTATGTTTTTAATAATAATAATAATAATAATAACACCTCGTATATATGTTTGCTCTAAGCCCCAAGTATTCATTTACGTACTGCATGACGATAGTTATTTTGACCGAATCAAAGAGTAACACAATCACGATCCCAATCCTATGAAAACATGAAACTTTCCCGTCCAACTTGCTGCATCCTCTGATTTTTAAAAGTCACGGATCTCCTGTTTTAAGATTGCACAAGTCAAACATTAAAAGCTTGCATAATTTTGGCAATTTGGACTAAGTCTGCTTAAATTAATATACATACATAAAGCTGATTTCAGTATTAACTTTTACTAAGAAGTAGTTAAGTTTTATATTCTATTACAGTGAAGGCTTCCGAATTGCGGGTTAAAGTTAGGTAAACATATTAACTCCAATAAAAGTTTATTACATTGTGTTTGGAGACTTTTCTTCCGGAATATCTGATGCTTGCGGTCACTATGCATAGTGTTTGGTTTTTACTGGACCCAAATCTTAATATAGTGGTTTTGGCCGGCCATTCGATATAATTATTAGGATTTTACTTTTAAAAAGTTTCACACTTTTGTAAAAAGACAACATAAAATCTGAACGCGGCTGCAAAACAGAGACGAAAATATATATATCCCAAAACATGAATTGATAGTCATTGTGAAACACTTATCACTTTGACATCGATATTTTAGTTATCCAATGTACCAAACCGTTGAGACTATATATAACTTTTTATCAGTCCCGTTTACTGAATCCTCAAGGCTTATCAGAAATGTAATTACAATGTTTTCATAAAAATGTATGTTCGTTTGTCATTTGTATATATACCACGGTATCCTCTCTGTAAAGTTTTTTATTTTATTTTATTTTTTTGGTACCATTTTAACAAAGTTGTTTTGGTTGTGACTTGTGATGATGTATAGGTATGAATCTATACACATGGGTTTCTAACTATTGGGTTCAGCTAAGCCACTAAGCCTATGCCAACATAAACTTAAGTTCATTTAAAATAAACTCGACGAATTGTAAGATCTGATCTTCCAAATCTTATGATTAACCTAAACATTTTGACTTAACGTGTCTAAACTATCTTTTTATAG